TTCTTGTCCTTTTCCGGTATAAAACTAGTAACTTCACTTCATGGACCCCTCCAAGGCTGTCTGAGCTTATGGCTGTCTTACCTTGACACTTCGGGTTTTCGATCGTTCCAGTGTTCCTCAGAAGAGCGCTTCTGCCGATCATGCGTTGCAGACAGGTTATCACGGGCTAATCAGTGAGCTTATTGCAGACCGTCCTGAGGGGAAGAAACAATGAATGTAATCTTATATAGATTGTATTGTACGATTAATATAACATATTATTGATTGTATTGTACGATTAATATAACATATTATTGATTGTATTGTGTGATGAATATAACATATTATTGTATTGTACGATGAATATGACATATTATTGATTGTATTGTGTGATGAATATAACATATTATTAGTTGTATTTTACGATGAATATGACATATTATTGATTGTATTGTATGATGAATATGACATATTATTGATTGTATTGTACGATGAATATGACATATTATTGATTGTATTGTACGATGAATATGACATATTATTGATTGTATTGTACGATGAATATGACATATTATTGATTGTATTGTATGATGAATGTGACATATTATTGATTGTATTGTATGATGAATATAACATATTATTGATTGTATTGTACGATGAATATGTCATATTATTGATTGTATTGTATGATGAATATGACATATTATTGATTGTATTGTACGATGAATGTGACATATTATTGATTGTATTGTACGATGAATGTGACATATTATTGATTGTATTGTGTGATGAATATAACATATTATTGATTGTATTGTGTGATGAATATAACATATTATTGATTGTATTGTACGATGAATGTGACATATTATTGATTGTATTGTACGATGAATGTAACATATTATTGATTGTATTGTACGATGAATGTAACATATTATTGATTGTATTGTACGATGAATGTAACATATTATTGATTGTATTGTACGATGAATGTAACATATTATTGATTGTATTGTACGATGAATGTAACATATTATTGATTGTATTGTATGATGAATGTAACATATTATTGATTGTATTGTATGATGAATGTAATATCATATTTAATAGGAAAACCGATTTGAGGCTATTTAAAAACAATCCCACAAGCGATAGCTTAAACAACTATAAAAATTATTAGGGCAAAAGTCTACATGTTATATGCTAACACAAAAAATTGCCTTGGAGATCTTATGTGTCCAAATTAAATTCTAATACATCCACCAAAAATGTATGGGTTATGATTAAACGAATCAGTGGTAAAACAGTCAAAACAATGGGACATCTGACAACAAATGGAAATTTAGCTACATCAAAATTTTGAGAAGAAATCCGATTCCTGCTGTCGTATGTAATCGTCTGTTTATACTTAAATCTCCGTCTGGTTGTGTAGTAGATGAAAACTTCTATCCTTATAGTCACCTGTGTAAAAAGTTCGAAGTATTCGTGAAATGTATCATGACTGTTATTCATTAAGTGTCATGTCATGTGATTTGGAATTCTTCATCTTATTTTACATTGAATCTAAATTTAGGTAAGATAAGCTTTAAGCAATATTCCGAAAATAGGTCTCCTGTTTCCAGTCATCTATATCGTCGTTTTCAGAATGAAGACTTCTTCCTGATATTGAAAAAGAATAAATCTAGCCCTGAGACAGAGCACATTCAAAGTTTTAAATAAACATAACAAATATCACTCCTAATATACTACATTCTGATTTCTAATGCCTTATTTCTAATATACTACCTTATTTCTAATGTACTACCTTATTTCTAATATACTACCTTATTTCTAATGTACTACCTTATTTCTAATATACTACCTTATTTCTTATGTACTACCTTATTTCTAATGTACTACCTTATTTCTAATGTACTACCTTATTTCTAATATACTACCTTATTTCTAATATACTACCTTATTTCTAATGTACTACCTTATTTCTAATGTACTACCTTATTTCTAATATACTACCTTATTTCTAATGTACTACCTTATTTCTAATGTACTACCTTATTTCTAATATACTACCTTATTTCTAATGTACTACCATATTTCTTATGTACTACCTTATTTCTAATGTACTACCTTATTTCTAATGTACTACCTTATTTCTTATGTACTACCTTATTTCTAATGTACTACCTTATTTCTAATATACTACCTTATTTCTAATATACTACCTTATTTCTAATGTACTACCTTATTTCTAATGTACTACCTTATTTCTAATATACTACCTTATTTCTAATGTACTACCTTATTTCTAATGTACTACCTTATTTCTAATATACTACCTTATTTCTAATGTACTACCATATTTCTTATGTACTACCTTATTTCTAATGTACTACCTTATTTCTAATGTACTACCTTATTTCTTATGTACTACCTTATTTCTAATGTACTACCTTATTTCTTATGTACTACCTTATTTCTAATGTACTACGTTATTTCTAATGTACTACCTTATTTCTAATATACTACCTTATTTCTAATATACTACCTTATTTCTAATGTACTACCTTATTTCTTATGTACTACCTTATTTCTAATATACTACCTTATTTCTAATGTACTACCTTATTTCTTATGTACTACCTTATTTCTAATGTACTACCTTATTTCTAATGCACTACCTTATTTCTAATGTACTACCTTATTTCTTATGTACTACCTTATTTTTAATGTACTACGTTATTTCTAATGTACTACCTTATTTCTAATGTACTACCTTATTTCTAATATACTACCTTATTTCTAATGTACTACCTTATTTCTAATATACTACCTTATTTCTAATGTACTACCTTATTTCTAATGTACTACCTTATTTCTAATATACTACCTTATTTCTAATGTACTACCTTATTTCTTATGTACTACCTTATTTCTAATGTACTACCTTATTTCTAATATACTACCTTATTTCTAATATACTACCTTATTTCAAATGTACTACCTCATTTCTTATATACTATCCCTAATTTCTTTTAATCTTTAACATCGCTCAAATTATCCTTTTCGACTCATTTAAATATGTAAATCGACATCAAAGTCAAATGTTTGATATGGAACGTAACCAAGAGAATATGTATGTTAAGTATGTAGTCCGAGGTATACAATTCAGTTAAATTGTTTAAAACTTATGTGACATTTTTTTATATATGTTCTTCAATAACAGTAATTTAGGAGATGTGTGACGTTTCGATACGAGATGGTAATGTAATCAAAATTATCTTCGTCGTTGTTTAACATTACCAAGCAGATCACCAATATTCCACGTAGCATGACTCTCTCAATATCCTATCATTGCCACAGGCACTCGAGGCCAGGATATTATTTTTTAAACGTTGATTTTTGTTTTAGCACTCATGACTGACGTTATTTAAACGAAATATCAGCAGAATTCAAGTTTATGTGCCGGTTGACAAATCCGAGGTCCACGGTCATTAAAAATACACAAGGCAAGCAACTCCAGATTTTAAAAAATCGACCCCTCGCTTGGAAACTGGCTCAAAAAAAGTAGTTATGATAAGTTCCTTGTAAAACAATATGTATCCGTAGGTAGTGTGTATATTTACCTTTTATTTGGTGCATAACATTACAGGCAACGAGAAATTCACAATACGTACATGAGATTAACATCTCAATAATCGGAGATTTTATCGTCCATGTAATTATCTTTGACGGAAGTAACATGCCATTTCAAGGGCGGTCACTCCGACTTTTTGGGAGAGGAGTTCCGGATAGCACTATACCAGTGAACAGGTAAGAAAGGTTCCGATGTCATTACGCGCGTAACTTCAAAATAGATATTTTTATTTCTACAAATACATTTGCGGGGATGGAAAAATAATGGCTGGGCATTTAAAAAAAAAATAGAAAAAAATCATTTAATTTCCAATTTCTAAGTTAATATATTTCCCCCACGATATTTTTCATAAATTGCGCCCTTTTTTCATTATCTGCATGATTTTTTTTTTCTATTTTTTTTTTGAAAAAAAATTCTCATTACCGCCAGCTTGATTGAAATTTGATGCATTCTGTATAATCCCTTACCATGATATTGTATCCGAGTTGGCAACTGTGGACTTTCTTTGCCCAGCCATTATTTTTCCATCCCCGCAAATGTATTTGTAGAAATAAAAATATCTATTTTGAAGTTACGCGCGTAATGACATCGGAACCTTTCTTACCTGTTCACTGGTATAGTGCTATCCGGAACTCCTCTCCCAAAAAGTCGGAGTGACCGCCCTTGAAATGGCATGTTACTTCCGTCAAAGATAATTACATGGACGATAAAATCTCCGATTATTGAGATGTTAATCTCATGTACGTATTGTGAATTTCTCGTTGCCTGTAATGTTATGCACCAAATAAAAGGTAAATATACACACTACCTACGGATACATATTGTTTTACAAGGAACTTATCATAACTACTTTTTTTGAGCCAGTTTCCAAGCGAGGGGTCGATTTTTTAAAATCTGGAGTTGCTTGCCTTGTGTATTTTTAATGACCGTGGACCTCGGATTTGTCAACCGGCACATAAACTTGAATTCTGCTGATATTTCGTTTAAATAACGTCAGTCATGAGTGCTAAAACAAAAATCAACGTTTAAAAAATAATATCCTGGCCTCGAGTGCCTGTGATCATTGCATACGTTTCCTCGTCGCTGTTCATAACATCTACCATACGTTATTTGAGTAATAAATTGTTTAAATTGTTTTAGTTTTTAAACAATTTTGGTTCTTATTTCGTTTCATTTCATTTCACATTTTAAAATCGTTGTTATTTTCAAATGTTTGATTCTTGAATTTCATTGTTCAATCCGGAACTTTCATCGAGCATCTAGCTCTACAATTACTTTTACACAAGATGGCGGCGCCCTCTGGAAACGTGGAAATCTAGAAATAGCGTGCGTGTTTTGTGTACAGTGGTAAATTCAGCTAATCGCGGTTGATTCACCTTTGAAGTACGAGTACATGGTATTTCTTTCACATTGCCAGCTTTTAGGTGTTAAAATAACTTTATCGATATTTCTTATTTCAAGACAATACAAGCCACACCATGTGCTGAATTTTCTTATTCGGCATGCATGGACTCTGCTGAATCAGTTTCTATTATTACTCATAGCATTTAGTGTAGCTCAAAATCAAGAGTTTTACCGATATGTGGGGTTAAGGCCACATGGACTAGACAGCAGATTTAATATTATCATCAGTTTTATTGAAGTCGTATTTTAAAGCTTTTTGTAAAATATACAGATTATCCATAACTGAAGTTTGAGTGTCAATTAGATATGCTGAATTTTAAAATTGTAGGGTTCATGTAGTATATAAATATTTCAGATACAAAAAACTTTCTATTAAGAACGTTAACCATTATTGAGAACTACCTCATAGCACCATAGAGGATCTCAAAACTCGAATACATGTACGTGTATGTATTTAGCGTAATGGATGCAGGATGTTGGGTGAGTCGGTAAATTTATTTTTATTACAGATTGATAACAAACCATGTAATCATCATATAAGAAAAATGGAGGACCAGACTCATTCTGTGAAAAAACATCGTCAACCTAGAGCGGGACCAAGTGCTGATAAGAAGAAAGCAAAGAACAAACATGTTCAAGAGCTGACAGCACAACAAAGAAATCCTAAAGCTTTCTCTGTCCAGCATGCTGTTAAGACAAGTAGACTGGTCCAGAGGTAAGAAAGATTTTGTTAAAAATCATATCAGAATCTGGTGTGAAAAACAAAACTGATAGCTATCTTTGAACCCAGTCTGTAAAGATATGAACATTTCCTTTCATTACCAAATACCTTTATTTTTTCTGATGAGACCAGAGCACATTTCTAAATTATTGATGAGAGTCCAGTTACGAAGAAATACAGTGGGTCCCAAAGAAAAAGCAAAACTTACTGCAAATAGGATTTTTTTTTTATGTAAGGCATGTTGTTCTTGACAGGGGGAGGCCATAAATTGTACTGGGTTCTTCACTCGGTTATATTTTTGGACCTCTAGGTTATATTTCTCAGAGCATCAATATACAATTACTGCATGTTGATGAGGTCAATCCATGATTTTATCACACTAACCAAGAATAATATTAAGCAAGGATGAAGTCAGATGTTGATAGTATTCTTGGATGGTTTAATAAAATCATGCATTGACTGATATCAGCATACTATAAAAGTTTTCTCATTTTACCAAAATCAATACAAGCTACTGAAGAGAAGCAAAACATTAAATTTGGTCGTGATATTTTGAACTTTATGAACAGTCACAATAAAATACTTCTTGTTTGGAAATATTGGGTCATCATCTTGAGTTAGAAATTTGGTAGCTCCCCACCAAAATTCCATATGGTGGAAAATCTGCACATTCTTGCTTGCAGAAATTTCCAGGATTTGAAGAAGAGAGTTTATATATCAGACACTTTAATCAGTCTTAGTAGTGTCATGGCAGTCTGTTTTACATTAGCAGAGTCAACCTTTTCTGTCACTTTCTTAATTCCATTCATAGATGAAGAAACAGACCTTGTAAAAGCAGCCATTGGTTGTTTGGTTAGCAATAAGCATCAAGGCAGGTGAAGATCGAGATGTTCCAAAAATTAAAAGCATGTTGTTCCTTATAAATCTTTTTTATGGAAAAACCAGATTCACAATGTTCAATAGAAAATGAGGAACTACAATGAAAGATAAGAAATGAAAATATCAAATTGGCTGTAGGTGTGAGTTCCTAGCTATATTTTCTGAGCACAGTTTGATTGATGCACGCTATGGATATCTTCAACACATCAAAATTATGGAAAAATTTAGAAATCAAAATTATATATGAATGCAGAGAGAAAATCTATACTTATTAGTACCAGTCCTATTTTAGTCTACAAATTAAACAGCACAAGAAATGATGAGAGCTATGTATATTTCCTGATGTTTATACATTACACAGATTGTTTAACTCATAAATCTCTGTTATGCACTTTGTACAAATTATGATTGCTTTGTAGAAATACATTTCATGTTAATTTCCAGCCTGAAGAAACTTTAAAAAATTCTCAGTGACTCTCCAATGCTTGTCTACTTATAGTTTTTAAGGGGGTTGATTAATTAAGGCTTTATAACTGGTGTGCCACTTTCCAATCACGTACATGTATGGATATGCAGTTGACTCCAGGTATCGCATAAATATATACAAAAATAGCCCATATCACAATCAAGTTCACTGAAGTTTTTCTTTTCTATTTATTCACATTGATTAAGTATGCCATTTGATAATTTATGCTATGTATAAATACTGTGTTTTGAATGATTAGTAAAATTGAGAAGTGTTCATTGAACATGTACCCTTATAAAATCTTTCTCACCAGCTCGTTTAAGTGTTTTGTTGATAACACACCAGTAGCATAGTATATTTTTCACTCAAAAAAATAGTTAATCATAATGAATTTAATGAATCAAAATGCATTGACAGGTCACAGGACATCAAAACTAAGAAAACACACATCCCACTAGTAGACAGAACACCAATTGAACCTCCACCAATAGTTGTCGGGATTGTGGGACCACCAAAAGTAGGAAAGACAACTCTGCTGCAGTGCCTTGTTAAAAACTATGCCAAACAGCGACTGACCAATGTGGAAGGTCCCGTTACTGTAGTTGCAGGTGGGGATGGATTTTCTCTGATAATTGTATTTATTCTGTGTGTTTCTACCAAGCATTCTGACTTAATTACACCAGAATGGTTTTTTTTTTTTTTTCAAAAAATGCATACTGAGCTCCATTTTTAATATGTTGCTTTGATCTGTTGGGTTACTTTAATTTGTTGGGTTCCTGTTTTAATACTGTGCCACGATTTAATCAGATGATTTTCCTGACCTTGAAGAGCATGTTCTTTTAATTCTGGACTTTGTGATAATTTGATCATGTAATGCAGGCTTCAACTAACTTTAAATTTGAAATCAATTGAAATGAAATGACTGGTGATGTGTAATATTGTGATGATACCTCTCTAATACTACATGCACAGGTAAGAACAGGCGACTGACACTTTTGGAATGCAAGAATGATATCAACACTATGATAGATATTGCAAAGGTGGCTGATCTGGTGAGTTATCATAGTCTTTACATCCAAACTCAGAGTCTGAGTTAGCTATCTTAACATTACATTAAGAATGTGTCTCAGAATAGTAAATTTTGAATTCACAAGCACCAAACATATTTAAGGTTAAGATGTAACAATGCACTGGTCATGGATTTTGTTAAGTGTGCCATTGAAATATTTGCCCTTTATTAAATTTAACTGTTTGTCTTCCAGCAATGATTGAAATCATACTTTTTCAATTGTCCTACATTCTTAGGTTCTTCTTCTGGTTGATGCAAGTTTTGGGTTTGAAATGGAGACATTTGAATTTCTGAACATCTGCCAAGTCCATGGGTTCCCTCGCATTATGGGCGTACTTACTCATCTTGATGCCTTCAAAGACAACAAACGCATGAGGAAAACAAAGAAACGCCTTAAACACAGGTTCTGGACTGAAGTATATCAGGTGATTAAGTCGGTCTGATATACCACAAGATACGTAACTTTTATGGACAGCATTGTTGTTTCGTAAATTATTCTATATCTTGAAGAAGAGGTCCATGGTTCTTAGCTTTTATAGCCATATATGTTAAGGGAGAAAAATCGAAAAATCAGGTTTGAAATACTATTGACCTCTAATAGATTAATTTCTATATTTTTGGTGTGTTTGATTATTGCAAGATAAATATGGCAGTCATCAAATTAAAATTTTCAGTGTTTGAACTATATTTTTGTATAAGAAAGAGCGTTTGTGATTGGTTTTCTTAGATTTATCAATGTTTGTAATGTCAATGTTATACATAGGGAGCAAAGCTGTTCTACCTGTCGGGGATGGTAAATGAAGAATACCAGAAGACAGAGGTACACAACCTGTGTCGGTTTATATCTGTGATGAAGTTCCGACCACTCCAATGGAGAATAACTCATCCATACATCCTAGTTGACAGGTACTAGAAAGTTGTGTTATGTTCCCATAAAGAAAATGTCTGTAATACCGTAATGATAATATTTGTTATGTCGCTCCAAGTCTCTTTTGCTGTAAGGCTGTAGTTATTGGATGTCTAAGCTGTCAGATAATTATATGTCTGTCTGAGTGTCTATCACACTTAGATTTTAAGTTTAATTCCAGTATTGGTTGATACTAGTTTAAGAATGCTGCAGTCATGATGCATTTTGAATTGATTTTTCATATTGTAATACCGCTGAAAATTTTCATTGTTTCATATACCTCCTCACTCTTGTTTTAAAGTAAATGGTAGCAAAATGCAAAGCATAACCAATTTTCAGTCTGTTAATATAGGCCAAGAGAATATAACCAAAAAATGTGTAAGAAAACAAATGTTGGGTGTAAATATTTATTGGATCTCTACATAATGCTATGTAGCAAAATATGTGTACACATCTCACAAAGAGGATTACTATTAGATGTGAAAAATCTTATTTTCTTTTACATTTGGACATAAAAATCAGAATTTAGGAAAAAATAACTAAACATTAAAAAAAATCAGAATTTAGCTATAGCATCACTTGTGGTTTTGATACAAATGAAAGAAACTGTTTTTCCTTTATCTAAATTTTCTGCTGATATTTGTGATATCAATAAGGGGTCAGGGTTCTCCTGCTATTTTTGTATGTATGCTGATGTAACAGTCATGATTCATTTTTCAATACTTTACAAAAAGGACATGGGTTTATTGATAAAAATGAAAATTACACATTGTTAAAGTTTAATACCTGGCAGGAATATTGTGAATCTTTCTCAAAAAATAAATATTTGACTTCAGAACGGAGGATATTACGGATCCAGAGACTGCACGAAGGAATAGAAAATGTGACAGGAACATTTCTCTGTATGGCTATGTAAGGGGAACCCACCTGAAGAATCGTAGTAACGTACACATTCCAGGTAAATCTCTTAGACAGGAACTTATAATGGTACAGGGACCTATTCTTAATGAATACATGAGACATGCAGGTATTACATTTTAGAATGTCAACACCTTACAATTGTAAGCAGTAAAACATTGTGAACATATACCAGAAAGAGTCACTGTTGTGTACATAAATTGTAACCCAACATTTCCTTATCAGGTTGTGGTGACTTCACCATACACGACATGCAGATCCTATCAGATCCGTGCCCCACACCAGACCAGGAGAAGAGACGCTCATTGAATCAGCGTGAACGGATCATCTATGCCCCAATGTCAGGAGTAGGAGGCATTGTGTATGACAAGGATGCTATTTATATAGATCTTGGTGGAAGTCATTCTCACAACAAACGGGAGGAGGTGAGAAGCATTAGTGGTCATTTGACTTGAAGATATGTACTTATTGTTTTGGTTTGTTTTGTGATTACTTACTGTTGTTTATCAATTTATAATTAGATTATACTTTGATGCACCTTCTTTCATGGATAACTTCTTTCCAGAAATTTGTTTTCTGTTGATGAATTACTAAACAATATTTGTCTCTGCCTAAATTGATGTACTCACTAGATTTCCTGTCAGCGAGTTATCAGATATTTACATATTTATAAATAGAAAGTTGTTGGAAATTTTTGTAAATAAATATGTATACCCTTCCTAAAACAGCATGAATCAAATGTGTCACCACTACAGTTACATATTTGACATCATGATAAGCTACTCAGAGTCTTTTTTAATTTGAAACATTATTGTACTTTAATAGGAAGAAGTCCAACCAGCCAACGACCTTGTCTCCACACTCATGTCAACCTTCAACCCTTTAGATGAGAAGATCAACACTAGTCACATGACAGTCTTTTCCAACACTGCACCCATCTCAGATGTGGGGATGCTGGGGTAGGTTTTCTCCTTTAGATGCTGTAGCTCAGCACACCAATTCTAGAAGTCCAAACGTCCTGCAAATCTCAACATATCTTTCCAAGGAAAACTTTCTTTATTTGCCAATAAATGGAGCCTGTTTTTTCTGATATATATCTTTATTATAATTTGAGTATTTGAAATATTTTTTCTTTTTCGTAGTTTTACAGAAAGTGATATATTTTGGTATAAATTTATTTCCCTTTATGAGATAATTCCTTCCCCCACCCAACAGCTCCCTCCTTTTTTTTCCCTTTGTATAATATGATATGTAGTGATGGAGTTATGCTATTACAGTGACCAACCATCCCAGGAGTCTGTCCAGGAGGGAGAGAGGGTACGAAGGAAGGCGGTATTTACAGACGTTTTAGATGTAAGCCACTTTATGATTGTTTCTTTAGTGTACACAGTTACTTGTCATAAACAGAAAAGGTTTCCTTAGTGTATACAGTTACTTATAGACAGAAAAAGTTTCCTTAGTGTATACAGTTACTTATAGACAGAAAAGGTTTCCTTAGTGTATACAGTTACTTGTCATAGACAGAAAAGGTTTCCTTAGTGTACACAGTTACTTATAGACAGAAAAGGTTTCCTTAGTGTATACAGTTACTTATAGACAGAAAAGGTTTCCTTAGTGTATACAGTTACTTATAGACAGAAAAGGTTTCCTTAGTGTATACAGTTACTTATAGACAGAAAAGGTTTCCTTAGTGTATACAGTTACTTATAGACAGAAAAGGTTTCCTTAGTGTATACAGTTACTTATAGACAGAAAAAGTTTCCTTAGTGTATACAGTTACTTATAGACAGAAAAGGTTTCCTTAGTGTATACAGTTACTTATAGACAGAAAAGGTTTCCTTAGTGTATACAGTTACTTATAGACAGAAAAGGTTTCCTTAGTGTATACAGTTACTTATAGACAGAAAAGGTTTCCTTAGTGTACACAGTTACTTATAGACAGAAAAGGTTTCCTTAGTGTATACAGTTACTTATAGACAGAAAAAGTTTCCTTAGTGTATACAGTTACTTATAGACAGAAAAGGTTTCCTTAGTGTATACAGTTACTTATAGACAGAAAAGGTTTCCTTAGTGTATACAGTTACTTATAGACAGAAAAGGTTTCCTTAGTGTATACAGTTACTTATAGACAGAAAAGGTTTCCTTAGTGTATACAGTTACTTATAGACAGAAAAGGTTTCCTTAGTGTACACAGTTACTTATAGACAGAAAAGGTTTCCTTAGTGTATACAGTTACTTATAGACAGAAAAGGTTTCCTTAGTGTATACAGTTACTTATAGACAGAAAAGGTTTCCTTAGTGTATACAGTTACTTATAGACAGAAAAGGTTTCCTTAGTGTATACAGTTACTTATAGACAGAAAATGTTTCCTTAGTGTATACAGTTACTTATAGACAGAAAAGGTTTCCTTAGTGTACACAGTTACTTATAGACAGAAAAGGTTTCCTTAGTGTATACAGTTACTTATAGACAGAAAAGGTTTCCTTAGTGTATACAGTTACTTATAGACAGAAAAGGTTTCCTTAGTGTATACAGTTACTTATAGACAGAAAATGTTTCCTTAGTGTATACAGTTACTTATAGACAGAAAAGGTTTCCTTAGTGTATACAGTTACTTATAGACAGAAAATGTTTCCTTAGTGTATACAGTTACTTATAGACAGAAAAGGTTTCCTTAGTGTATACAGTTACTTATAGACAGAAAAGGTTTCCTTAGTGTATACAGTTACTTATAGACAGAAAAGGTTTCCTTAGTGTATACAGTTACTTATAGACAGAAAAGGTTTCCTTAGTGTATACAGTTACTTATAGACAGAAAAGGTTTCCTTAGTGTATACAGTTACTTATAGACAGAAAAGGTTTCCTTAGTGTATACAGTTACTTATAGACAGAAAAGGTTTCCTTAGTGTATACAGTTACTTATAGACAGAAAAGGTTTCCTTAGTGTATACAGTTACTTATAGACAGAAAAGGTTTCCTTAGTGTACACAGTTACTTATAGACAGAAAAGGTTTCCTTAGTGTATACAGTTACTTATAGACAGAAAAGGTTTCCTTAGTGTATACAGTTACTTATAGACAGAAAAGGTTTCCTTAGTGTATACAGTTACTTATAGACAGAAAAGGTTTCCTTAGTGTATACAGTTACTTATAGACACAAAAGGTTTCCTTAGTGTATACAGTTACTTGTCATAGACAGAAAAGGTTTCCTTAGTGTATACAGTTACTTATAGACAGAAAAGGTTTCCTTAGTGTATACAGTTACTTATAGACAGAAAAGGTTTCCTTAGTGTATACAGTTACTTATAGACAGAAAAGGTTTCCTTAGTGTATACAGTTACTTATAGACAGAAAAGGTTTCCTTAGTGTATACAGTTACTTATAGACAGAAAAGGTTTCCTTAGTGTATACAGTTACTTATAGACAGAAAAGGTTTCCTTAGTGTATACAGTTACTTATAGACAGAAAAGGTTTCCTTAGTGTATACAGTTACTTATAGACAGAAAAGGTTTCCTTAGTGTATACAGTTACTTATAGACAGAAAAGGTTTCCTTAGTGTATACAGTTACTTATAGACAGAAAAGGTTTCCTTAGTGTATACAGTTACTTGTCATAGACAGAAAATGTTTCCTTAGTGTATACAGTTACTTATAGACAGAAAAGGTTTCCTTAGTGTATACAGTTACTTATAGACAGAAAAGGTTTCCTTAGTGTATACAGTTACTTATAGACAGAAAAGGTTTCCTTAGTGTATACAGTTACTTGTCATAGACAGAAAAGGTTTCCTTAGTGTACACAGTTACTTGTCATAAACAGAAAAGGTTTCCTTAGTGTATACAGTTACTTATAGACAGAAAAGGTTTCCTTAGTGTATACAGTTACTTATAGACAGAAAAGGTTTCCTTAGTGTATACAGTTACTTATAGACAGAAAAGGTTTCCTTAGTGTATACAGTTACTTGTCATAGACAGAAAAGGTTTCCTTAGTGTATACAGTTACTTATAGACAGAAAAGGTTTCCTTAGTGTACACAGTTACTTATAGACAGAAAAGGTTTCCTTAGTGTATACAGTTACTTATAGACAGAAAAGGTTTCCTTAGTGTATACAGTTACTTATAGACAGAAAAGGTTTCCTTAGTGTATACAGTTACTTATAGACAGAAAAGGTTTCCTTAGTGTACACAGTTACTTATAGACAGAAAAGGTTTCCTTAGTGTACACAGTTACTTATAGACAGAAAAGGTTCCTTAGTGTACACAGTTACTTATAGACAGAAAAGGTTTCCTTAGTGTATACAGTTACTTATAGACAGAAAAGGTTTCCTTAGTGTATACAGTTACTTATAGACAGAAAAGGTTCCTTAGTGTACACAGTTACTTATAGACAGAAAAGGTTTCCTTAGTGTATACAGTTACTTATAGACAGAAAAGGTTTCCTTAGTGTATACAGTTACTTATAGACAGAAAAGGTTTCCTTAGTGTATACAGTTACTTATAGACAGAAAAGGTTTCCTTAGTGTACACAGTTACTTATAGACAGAAAAGGTTTCCTTAGTGTATACAGTTACTTATAGACAGAAAAGGTTTCCTTAGTGTATACAGTTACTTGTCATAGACAGAAAAGGTTTCCTTAGTGTATACAGTTACTTATAGACAGAAAAGGTTTCCTTAGTGTATACAGTTACTTATAGACAGAAAAGGTTTCCTTAGTGTATACAGTTACTTATAGACAGAAAAGGTTTCCTTAGTGTATACAGTTACTTGTCATAGACAGAAAAGGTTTCCTTAGTGTATACAGTTACTTGTCATAGACAGAAAAGGTTTCCTTAGTGTATACAGTTACTTGTCATAGACAGAAAAGGTTTCCTTAGTGTATACAGTTACTTATAGACAGAAAAGGTTCCTTAGTGTACACAGTTACTTATAGACAGAAAAGGTTTCCTTAGTGTATACAGTTACTTATAGACAGAAAAGGTTTCCTTAGTGTATACAGTTACTTATAGACAGAAAAGGTTTCCTTAGTGTATACAGTTACTTATAGACAGAAAAGGTTTCCTTAGTGTACACAGTTACTTATAGACAGAAAAGGTTTCCTTAGTGTATACAGTTACTTATAGACAGAAAAGGTTTCCTTAGTGTATACAGTTACTTGTCATAGACAGAAAAGGTTTCCTTAGTGTATACAGTTACTTATAGACAGAAAAGGTTTCCTTAGTGTATACAGTTACTTATAGACAGAAAAGGTTTCCTTAGTGTATACAGTTAATTATAGACAGAAAAGGTTTCCTTTGTGTATACAGTTACTTATAGTCAGAAAAGGTTTCCTTAGTGTATACAGTTACTTATAGACAGAAAAGGTTTCCTTAGTGTATACAGTTACTTGTCATAGACAGAAAAGGTTTCCTTAGTGTATACAGTTACTTGTCATAGACAGAAAAGGTTTCCTTACTGTATACAGTTACTTGTCATAGACAGAAAAGGTTTCCTTACTGTATACAGTTACTTGTCATAGACAGAAAAGGTTTCCTTAGTGTATACAGTTACTTGTCATAGACAGAAAAGGTTTCCTTAGTGTATACAGTTACTTATAGACAGAAAAGGTTTCCTTAGTGTATACAGTTACTTATAGACAGAAAAGGTTTCCTTAGTGTATACAGTTACTTATAGACAGAAAAGGTTTCCTTAGTGTATACAGTTACTTATAGACAGAAAAGGTTTCCTTAGTGTATACAGTTACTTGTCATAGACAGAAAAGGTTTCCTTAGTGTATACAGTTACTTGTCATAGACAGAAAAGGTTTCCTTAGTGTATACAGTTACTTGTCATAGACAGAAAAGGTTTCCTTAGTGTATACAGTTACTTATAGACAGAAAAGGTTTCCTTAGTGTATACAGTTACTTATAGACAGAAAAGGTTTCCTTAGTGTATACAGTTACTTATAGACAGAAAAGGTTTCCTTAGTGTATACAGTTACTTGTCATAGACAGAAAAGGTTTCCTTAGTGTATACAGTTACTTATAGACAGAAAAGGTTTCCTTAGTGTATACAGTTACTTGTAGACAGAAAAGGTTTCCTTAGTGTATACAGTTACTTATAGACAGAAAAGGTTTCCTTAGTGTATACAGTTACTTATAGACAGAAAAGGTTTCCTTAGTGTATACAGTTACTTATAGACAGAAAAGGTTTCCTTAGTGTATACAGTTACTTGTCATAGACAGAAAAGGTTTCCTTAGTGTATACAGTTACTTATAGACAGAAAAGGTTTCCTTAGTGTATACAGTTACTTATAGACAGAAAAGGTTTCCTTAGTGTATACAGTTACTTATAGACAGAAAAGGTTTCCTTAGTGTATACAGTTACTTATAGACAGAAAAGGTTTCCTTAGTGTATACAGTTACTTATAGACAGAAAAGGTTTCCTTAGTGTATACAGTTACTTGTCATAGACAGAAAAGGTTTCCTTAGTGTATACAGTTACTTATAGACAGAAAAGGTTTCCTTAGTGTATACAGTTACTTATAGACAGAAAAGGTTTCCTTAGTGTATACAGTTACTTATAGACAGAAAAGGTTTCCTTAGTGTATACAGTTACTTATAGACAGAAAAGGTTTCCTTAGTGTATACAGTTACTTGTCATAGACAGAAAAGGTTTCCTTAGTGTATACAGTTACTTATAGACAGAAAAGGTTTCCTTAGTGTATACAGTTACTTATAGACAGAAAAGGTTTCCTTAGTGTATACAGTTACTTCTAGACACAAAAGGTTTCCTTAGTGTACACAGTTACTTATAGACACAAAAGGTTTCCTTAGTGTATACAGTTACTTGTCATAGACAGAAAAGGTTTCCTTAGTGTATACAGTTACTTATAGACAGAAAAGGTTTCCTTAGTGTATACAGTTACTTATAGACAGAAAAGGTTTCCTTAGTGTATACAGTTACTTATAGACAGAAAAGGTTTCCTTAGTGTATACAGTTACTTATAGACAGAAAAGGTTTCCTTAGTGTATACAGTTACTTATAGACAGAAAAGGTTTCCTTAGTGTATACAGTTACTTGTCATAGACAGAAAAGGTTTCCTTAGTGTATACAGTTACTTATAGACAGAAAAGGTTTCCTTAGTGTATACAGTTACTTATAGACAGAAAAGGTTTCCTTAGTGTATACAGTTACTTATAGACAGAAAAGGTTTCCTTAGTGTATACAGTTACTTATAGACAGAAAAGGTTTCCTTAGTGTATACAGTTACTTGTCATAGACAGAAAAGGTTTCCTTAGTGTATACAGTTACTTATAGACAGAAAAGGTTTCCTTAGTGTACACAGTTACTTATAGACAGAAAAGGTTTCCTTAGTGTATACAGTTACTTATAGACAGAAAAGGTTTCCTTAGTGTACACAGTTACTTATAGACAGAAAAGGTTTCCTTAGTGTATACAGTTACTTATAGACAGAAAAGGTTTCCTTAGTGTACACAGTTACTTATAGACAGAAAAGGTTTCCTTAGTGTATACAGTTACTTATAGACAGAAAAGGTTTCCTTAGTGTATACAGTTACTTATAGACAGAAAAGGTTTCCTTAGTGTATACAGTTACTTATAGACAGAAAAGGTTTCCTTAGTGTATACAGTTACTTATAGACAGAAAAGGTTTCCTTAGTGTACACAGTTACTTATAGACAGAAAAGGTTTCCTTAGTGTATACAGTTACTTATAGACAGAAAAGGTTTCCTTAGTGTATACAGTTACTCATAGACAGAAAAGGTTTCCTTAGTGTACACAGTTACTTATAGACAGAAAAGGTTTCCTTAGTGTACACCGTTACTTATAGACAGAGAAGGTTTCCTTAGTGTACACAGTTACTTATAGACAGAAAAGGTTTCCTTAGTGTATACAGTTACTTATAGACAGAAAAGGTTTCCTTAGTGTATACAGTTACTTATAGACAGAAAAGGTTCCTTAGTGTACACAGTTACTTATAGACAGAAAAGGTTTCCTTAGTGTATACAGTTACTTGTCATAGACAGAAAAGGTTTCCTTAGTGTATACAGTTACTTATAGACAGAAAAGGTTTCCTTAGTGTATACAGTTACTTATAGACAGAAAAGGTTTCCTTAGTGTATACAGTTACTTATAGACAGAAAAGGTTTCCTTAGTGTATACAGTTACTTGTCATAGACAGAAAAGGTTTCCTTAGTGTATACAGTTACTTGTCATAGACAGAAAAGGTTTCCTTAGTGTATACAGTTACTTATAGACAGAAAAGGTTTCCTTAGTGTATACAGTTACTTATAGACAGAAAAGGTTTCCTTAGTGTATACAGTTACTTATAGACAGAAAAGGTTTCCTTAGTGTATACAGTTACTTATAGACAGAAAAGGTTTCCTTAGTGTATACAGTTACTTGTCATAGACAGAAAAGGTTTCCTTAGTGTATACAGTTACTTATAGACAGAAAAGGTTTCCTTAGTGTATACAGTTACTTATAGACAGAAAAGGTTTCCTTAGTGTATACAGTTACTTATAGACAGAAAAGGTTTCCTTAGTGTATACAGTTACTTGTCATAGACAGAAAAGGTTTCCTTAGTGTATACAGTTACTTGTCATAGACAGAAAAGGTTTCCTTAGTGTATACAGTTACTTGTCATAGACAGAAAAGGTTTCCTTAGTGTATACAGTTACTTGTCATAGACAGAAAAGGTTTCCTTAGTGTATACAGTTACTTATAGACAGAAAAGGTTTCCTTAGTGTATACAGTTACTTATAGACAGAAAAGGTTTCCTTAGTGTATACAGTTACTTATAGACAGAAAAGGTTCCTTAGTGTACACAGTTACTTGTCATAGACAGAAAAGGTTTCCTTAGTGTATACAGTTACTTATAGACAGAAAAGGTTCCTTAGTGTACACAGTTACTTGTCATAGACAGAAAAGGTTTCCTTAGTGTATACAGTTACTTATAGACAGAAAAGGTTTCCTTAGTGTATGCCGTTGCTTGTCATAGACAGAAAAGGTTTCCTTAGTGTATACAGTTACTTATAGACAGAAAAGGTTTCCTTAGTGTATACAGTTACTTATAGACAGAAAAGGTTTCCTTAGTGTACACAGTTACTTATAGACAGAAAAGGTTTCCTTAGTGTACACAGTTACTTGTCATAGACAGAAAAGGTTTCCTTAGTGTATACAGTTACTTATAGACAGAAAAGGTTTCCTTAGTGTATACAGTTACTTATAGACAGAAAAGGTTTCCTTAGTGTATACAGTTACTTATAGACAGAAAAGGTTTCCTTAGTGTATACAGTTACTTATAGACAGAAAAGGTTTCCTTAGTGTATACAGTTACTTGTCATAGACAGAAAAGGTTTCCTTAGTGTATACAGTTACTTATAGACAGAAAAGGTTTCCTTAGTGTATACAGTTACTTATAGACAGAAAAGGTTTCCTTAGTGTATACAGTTACTTATAGACAGAAAAGGTTTCCTTAGTGTATACAGTTACTTGTCATAGACAGAAAAGTTTTCCTTAGTGTATACAGTTGCTTGTCATAGACAGAAAAGGTTTCCTTAGTGTATACAGTTACTTATAGACAGAAAAGGTTTCCTTAGTGTATACCGTTACTTATAGACAGAAAAGGTTTCCTTAGTGTATACAGTTACTTATAGACAGAAAAGGTTTCCTTAGTGTATACAGTTACTTGTCATAAACAGAAAAGGATTGCGAGTCTGAACCTCACTATTTTCCAATGACAATATATTCACCTTTTGGTACAGTGTTGGTATAATATATAATGTATTTCAACAAAAAGTATAAAAAGATTTCTTCTTTCCACAGGATGTAGATGACAACTCTGAAGAACCCAAGAAAAAAAAAGTCAAGGTAACTTGCACTGAGAATAAAAAATCCTGTTGTAATTGTGCATGCAGTAAATACATTAACTTCACATGTCTTTGAACTTTTCAAATACACCAACAAAATGCAGAGTTCTATTGGTGTGCTTTGCTCAAATGATGTTATCATATAAGAAATATCGGTTACGTACAGTAGACAACTCAGACTACAAATATAACTTGGTTTCAGGTGGATCCAACAGAAGAATTGGTGTTCGATGACAGTGATGATGATGAGGGGGAGGATGGAAATAATGCGTTTTTAAAATCAGGTTTTTCCTTATCAACTGAGAGAGTTAATTGTACAGAACAAAGTAATGATGATGTAGAGGATGATGACACTAGTGAGGAAAGTGATGATGATGACATAGAAATGGAGGAAATGGATTTATCATCAAAAAAACGAGGCATTCAAAGTGTGTTAGGTGACAATATAAGTAAGGAAAAGGAAGATGGTGTTGATTCTGACGATGAAATTGTTTTATTTGCAAACAAAAAGACTTCGTCAGACTCATTTGATCAGGATGAAACATTTGACAATGATGCTAACATTTCTGACAATGACAGCTCAGATGACAATGATGATGAAAATGATAATGAAAACGATGATGAAAGTGATGCTGAATCTGATGCTGAATCCTACGATGACATGGATGTACATACAGTTGACTCTATAAAATCACCAGATGAGAAAAGTGTAAAAGGCAGTAGTGATACAAAACTGATCTCCAAGACCAGGAAATATTCACATGAAACTAAAGCATCGGTAGAATCATCTAAAATCACTGACAGTGAAAGTGACATTGAAAGTGATGAAGGTTTAGGTGATGAAGCTGATGATAAAGAGACTGATGAGAACAATGAGAGTGATGATGACATTAAGGAAACAGAGGATGTTGAAGCAGAAGAAGAAAGCGAGTCTGAAGCTGAAGGTAAATTTGATGGGTTATTGAATTCATTTATCAGGTAGATTAAACAAACTACTATAATACTTAGAAAATTTCAAGGAAATTCAAGTAATATAAAAATAGGAAAATAATCTTGAAATAAGCAAAGTAGTAGAAGAAAAAAACTTCTACATAATTATTATATGGGAAAATAGTCGAGAAGAAAATTTGACATTCCTGATTATCTTGATTCTGTAGATGCTCAGAGAAGAAAAATTTAGTCATGGAGTCTTTTCATGCCCCCATTGTATTATTTTGAGGCATGTATCTATATATGGTGTTAATCCTACCTGACTGGTTTGTCCTGTCAAGTCCTGGTCTTAAAACAATGTCATATTGAGAACTTCTCTACTGATTTGATTCATATTTACACAATATTATTTAAACCACAAGTTTTCCACCTCATCCTATTTAGGTGATCAGTGGTCAAGAATGAAGGGTCAAAGGTCCCATGTGATAACTGTTTAAATTTATCTATGTAGGGACATTCAGTGTTTGATCGACAGTTTCCAGTTTCCTATGATAATGCAAATACCACCATTACAATAAATAAATAAATCAACAAATAATAATAATAATTTCTTAGAATTTGTTGTGAGGTGAAACCAAAAATGACTGGACCCATAAACAGGAAAAAAGATGTTTTTTGTTTTATTCTGTACAGTACAACATGTGCATGCAAATTTATTTGCAAGTTTATTCATTTTTGTCTTTAATATTAGAAGCAACATTTTTATATAGGAAGTGCTGGTAACATAGATGTGATTTGAATTCATGTTTGAAAGTGTGTACATGCATAGGAAAGTAATTGTGTGTCAGTTTTATAAATTATACCCTCATAAACTGTTTTGCTTGCCATTATAATGTGTTGTATCAAGTTAATCGTGGGTATTGACTTATTAGAGGGACATTTGAAATGGAAGAGTAACCTGGCAGAATTAGCAGCTGAATCCTTCAGAAAGAGACAAAAGGAGAGAATCAATTACAGAAAGCTGATATATGGACAAGGTGCAGTCATTTATGTTTATCTGTTTTGTTTGTTCCCATAAATAATTAGCTGAATTTAAACATTTCATGTAGGGCCTTCATTTTTCTTTATTTTTTCTCATGTATTTACGTTTAATAAAACTTTCTATACAATGGAAACCATAGTTTATCTATATGAAAACATTCAAAGCTTCAATTTCATCATTCTTTCATTAATATGTAGCTCATGTCAAAATGTTTTATATCTTAAATACCTAAAGTTTTCATAGTTTCTGTCTTTAAAGAATCCTGCAAAACATCTTTTTAGTCTTTTTCTGTATATGAAATTATGGGTTTGAATGAAACATGTTTGAATGAAACATGTTTGAAATGATGTATGCAGATGTTTTCAAAGTGATGATTGAATGTTGTAGATGCAGGTGAAGAATTAGAAGAAGAAAAGAATGATGACGATGATGATGAGCTGGGAGGGCTGTTCAAGGTTCTAAAGAGAAAGCAGGAGAAGAAGACTGATGAGCGACTGTCTATTAACAAAACTGACTGTTCACGTTTCTTTATACAGACAGTACAGGACTGGGATCTGGAGGAGGTCAGTGTCTATGGGGTTACTTAAACTATACTAGATTGGTTAGTCAGAAAGTAGTCCTACATAGAGAACCAGACTATGAGTGGGATATTATAATACCCTCCTAATAATGTTAACCTGGGTTTGGTGATGTAAACAGGAAATTGGATGTCTATCTTCCTATCAGAGAGTACCCAGTATGTTTGTATAATTGAAATAGCAGTGATGACACTTAATTATTATTGAATGTACATTTATTTGTTTACAGACATCTCTTATTCCCCTTGAACACATTTTGCGAATAGCAAATGAAAAGGAAACCTGACATAAAATTTCAAGAGGTTCTAAAAAAACCCCTAAGGTTCTGAAAAACTTTGCTCTTTCTCTGTGGTCACAGAAATGCCTGGCTGTTCAGAAAAGCCTTGCTCTTACTCAGTGGTCCTGAAAAGCCTGTCTCTTTCCTTGTGGTCCTGAAAAGCCTGGCTCTTTCCTTGTGGTCCTGAAAAGCCTGGCTCTTTCCTTGTGGTCCTGAAAAGCCTGTCTCTTTCCTTGTGGTCCTGAAAAGCATAGCTCTTTCCTTGTGGTCCTGAAAAGCATGGCTCTTTCCCTGAGGTTCAGAAAAGATTGGCTGTTTTCTCCAAGGTTCTAGAAAACCTGGATCTTTCTATTAGGTTCTGAAAAGCCTGGCCTTTTCTTGTAGTCTTGAAATGTTTTGCCCTCTCCATGACCTGTTGAATCATTAAATGATATATATGTACATATAAAATTGAGAAGGTTAAGGAATGATGGAAATTGCTGCTGCTGTTATAGGTGAGAGAGCTCATAAAGGACTGCTTTGTGACAGGGAAGTGGGACAAGAGTGAGGATGCTGCCGCCAGGTTAGAGCAAGATGGTAAGTTCTCCTTTCTGTTGAATATGACCTGGTTATCGAAATGCTGTCCATATTGTTATCGGAATATGATAATGCTGTGAATTCATTAATTTTCATTGGTTTTTGTTATCGTGTTTTGTCCCTAGTGCACCATCACCATTCACCATTTGCAGAAAATGTTTTTATGAACCAACAATGTCTTCTTTGTAAGCTGTAATATAGGCGAACAATTAACTTCAGGCTTATTCGGCTTCATTCATATATAGGTCTTTATTGCCAGATGACTGTTAAGGCCCATGGGCCCCTTTATTTTCGTTGCTTTCATGGGTACTTATAATCCATGGATTCATGTGTCCGTTAAAATTAGTAGAAGTAGACTTATCAAGCTCTAATTAACCACAAAACCAAGAACTCATGACATAGTAATGTTTTGAAAAACCATGAAAATTGAGTCCAGGATACAGTAGAAGTTACTTCTATTAGCGTTCAACTACAAGGGTGGGATGTGTACCCGTATCATATTGGCTCTAGAATTCTTTATACATTGTACTTTAGATGAGTTGTACGGAGACTTTGAAGACCTGGAGACTGGTGAGGTACACAAAGAGGATAACAGAGAGATTGACGACGAGGAGGAGGATTCAACTGCTGAAGGTATTTTTATCATATACAAATGTGTACCTAAATACTGTTATCGTGTCATCTCTTGATTCATACCTTTTGTATCTCGTTCATCTAGACTTCTGTTTTTCTGCTATCATATATTACATTTAAATCCTGATGAACCTCTAAATGTTTATATAAGCCTTTAGATGTCTTTTGCAAGGCTCACCAAAGAGCAAATATCATTATTGCATAAACAAACAAACCAGTTCCAACTGGAAAACTGTTTGGAGCAAGATACATCAAAATAGACCAAGTGATGAGAACACAGAGCCACGCAGTACAGTAAAAGTGTAAAACAGTTTCAGATTTGCAACATTTACCTGCAGAAGTATTTCCCCTCATTTGATATTTTTGCAGGTGAAGATGATGGAGAGAGAAAACGCACAAAAGCAGAGATTACAGCAGATGAGAAGCGGATAGCCAGGAAAAAAAAGCTAAAGGAGGTGTTTGACAAGCAGTACGACATGAAGGATGACTCTGAGTTCTATGACTCCTGGAAACAAGAGAACGAAATACAGGCTCAGGTATAAATTCTTATTTCAAATAGAACAATAACAGTTTTAGGATTTAAAATGTAAGTTATTCTCATTTCATTTTTCTAGAAAATAGCTTTGTCAGTAGATAGGACTTAAAAGTAAGGGTAAGATGTAACATCTGATCCAAAGGATTTATACTTTAGGTTTATAAATTTCATCAAGATCGTCCTATGAACATTTTATTATATGTATATACATGGATTTCTTTGATTTCTGTGTTTACTCGCAGCTTAATCGTGCTGAGTTTGAAAACATGGATGATGACGTACGTGTGAACTATGAAGGATTCCGACCTGGGATGTATGTACGAGTTGAGGTGAACAATGTGCCTTGTGAGTTTGTCACAAACTTCGATGCCAGTTATCCAGTAATCCTGGGCGGGCTACTTAATGTGGAGAGTAATGTAGGCTACCTCCAGGTATAGAATTTCTTTATCAACATAGATTTGATCACTGCAAAATAACCAATAAATAATAATATTTGTAAAGTACTTGGCAGGACTGTAATATTGAAATCCTAGTCAGACTTCTGGTCATGTGCTACAGACATGATTGGTAGTATTTTAGACTCATACTGGAGAAGGTATTGATTTGCAATTATTGTTCATGTAATTGAAGTATGCTATATGTTTGAGGAATCCTCCTTCAAAGTAGTTTTCATTTTATTTAGTAAGCATTTAAAAATTGCTATCTTTCTGGTTGATACAGACACGTGTGAAGAAACACAGATGGCATAAAAAAATTCTCAAGACAAAAAATCCATTGATTGTCTCCCTTGGATGGCGGAGATTCCAGACATTGCCCTTGTTTGCAATTCAGGACCACAATTTTAGGAACCGACTGCTAAAATACACTCCAGAACATCTTCACTGTCACTCAGTTTTCTGGGGTAAGTTCTTGAACATAATTACTGTAACATAATCATCCAGATTCAATAACACAGCTACAGGCATAACTTTTCATCAAAATACTCAAACAACTTCACATGACATCCATTAGCTTCTGGGGTATGTACACAAATATTTGAACAGTGTCACTCAGTGCACTGAATCACGTACTTCGGTGTGTAAAGCTGTGTCATTTAAACTCTTGGTTGGTACTTGCACAAAGCTCGATTCCTTTGCCTTCTGCATTTTAGTAGTATTCGTACATGATCTCTCTCACTTGACCTACTGAGGTACTTACCGTTTAAACTGCCATTTAACATCAGATTCACTTGTTAGAATTATAAATCAAAGCTTCATTTTAAGAAGAAAATGTTATTGTAATCTTTAACTCTGTCTTGAATTGTTTTATCATCTGTTACAGGTCCTTTGACACCACAAGGAACAGGTTTCCTGGCTGTGGAAAGTGTCTCTGGTGTAATGGTTAGTACATATCAAGTGTAAAGTGTCAGTACATTGTAATGTGTTTATGAAAGATTTGTCAGAATGATGATAAAGACTCATTAATGTTGATATATTGATTTATCTGGTTTCTGCTTTTCATTTTGATATCTTCTTGTTCCTCACCTTTTGAAGAAAAACAAAGATATTTATTTTTAGGGCACCTGTCCCTCTGTCTGTCCATCCTGCTTAAGTCTTTTTGTGATAATTAATTAGGTAACTTCATTTCCACTTGGCCAATTGTTTTCTGTATAATAACTTTGCTAAATATGGATGGCTTTGGATCAGATTTGGTTTGGAGGTATATCTTAATATTGTCCAGTCCCACTTGTACTACCGACATTGAATGTTGACATTTATGCATCATTAATAATACTGAGTATTAGGAACTTCATGGCCAAGTGACTGATTGGTGCCCATGTGATAACTTTGCTGAATGTGAATTGATTTCAATCAATTTGGTTTGGAGGTATATCTTACTATCCTTGAGTCGGAGTTTGACTGTTATGCATTATCATGAGTTGCTTCTGATTGGTCAATAGGCTTCTGTGGAGAAACTATTCAATTTCAATGGATTATAAACGAATCTGGTTTATAAATGCATCTTATTAGATTTAAGTCAGGCTTTAGCTACCTTACTGTATACACATTGAAAGCGATTGATATAGATTTGATAATATCATATATTTATTTCCTAACAATTTTTTGATAGGCTTCTATGCTTGATGTTGTCATGGAAACTTTCAACAATTTTGCATGTGTTAACATTAATGTAGAATAAGAGTATATTCCATGAGGACAGTATTTTATAAATGTGCAATGTTTATTGTTCAGCCTGGCTTTCGAGTAGCTGCTACTGGAGTTGTTCTGGAGATGGACAAGAAATTAGACATTGTGAAGAAACTCAAACTGACTGGTACCCCCCAGAAAATATACAAGAAAACTGCATTCATCCAGGTCAGTTGACAGATGACTGATTAAACCAGTGATTGGATGTTGAGAGAAGATCAGTGTTTCATAGTTACAGGGAAAATTGGTGCCTAGGGCAATATTTGGATTTAGATTTTGAGGGAAAGCATTTTTCTTTTTTTGCTTGTTGATTAGACAACGAGAAATGGAAATTAAAATTTGTTACATACATTTACACTGTAAGCATACTGTATTATCACTACTTTGCAAATTAGTGCTGTTTTAAATTTGGTCATCAGTATTAATTGATATCTATAAACAATATAAGTCACAATTAGCACAATCATGTTTAAAATCAATCGTATTTCAGCAGGAAAAGTGTTATAGAATAAAAATAATGTACATTTACAGTAATCTATTGTCAACATGTAATAACTACCTTCAGAAATTTATACATGTATGTTTTACAGGGAATGTTTAACAGTGCTCTGGAAGTTACCAAATTTGAAGGTGCCAAAATCCGAACTGTCAGCGGGATACGAGGTCAGGTGAAAAAAGCTGTACGAACGCCAGAGGGAGCATTCAGAGCTACATTTGAAGACAAAATACTGCTCAGTGGTATTTATCAAACTTTCCAGCATATTTCTGAAAATGTAGATATAGAATGAAACAATAAATGTGACAGTCAAGTTAGGATACTAAATGAAAATATTCTAATTCCACTTTTCCCATTATTGACATATGTTTAGGATATGTTTGTTTTTGTGTTACATGGTATGTTTAGATCACCTGAGACGAACTCTCATCGTGACCAATATATACTGGAATCCCCTTTTGTCTGACTTTAACTTTAAACATTTTTGACTTCTCTTGCAAAACCTTTGAACTGATTTCAATGAAATTTTGCAGAAACCATCCATGGTCAAAGGCAAACCAAAATGGTGAATTATATGGTCCCCATCTCCCATGACCTGAGGGATGGGGCCAAAAAGGGTCAAATTGACTGGAATTTTAAAAATCGTATTCTCAATACCCAAATATGGTAGAATCAAATGCTCTTCACAGATGAAAAGGTCTTGAAGTGCTTTACCAAACATGTAAATTTTGTTAGCCCACGGTCACACATTTCCCATTGTGAGGGGGTAAAGTTTATCACATGGATTAGCTAATCAGTGAAATGCATGGAAATTTGCAAGAGTTATTGGACTTTGAATGACAAAAATTTACCACTATTTTACTTTCTGCACAAAAACTTGTGGAGTTGTAGTCAGATGTTCTCCAAATTTGCATGTGGGTTCACAATTAGACCTCACATAAGTTTGATGACTAGTGTCATTGATCAATATTTACAAGACCTATGGGGACTTACAGCCGACAATATACCATTTTATCACTTTCCGCACACTGTATGTTTATAGTAAGATTTTCACCATATTTGGTTTGTTGATTATGTACACGAGACATCATATGGATTTGATAACCATTAAAATCTGTTCATAACTAGAAGAGTATCAGAAGTTTGAACTTATAACCAGATTTGTGTTTTGTGTCTTATACACGAGACCTTGTTTGAATTCTGCTCCTACCCACCATATTGCTTCCCACACTAATCATGTTTGGATACATTTATAATTCCCAAGTCATCCTAATGTGGACATATCATAGCAATCATTAACAAATATCTGTGGATTGCATGGACTAGATACTTACCACAATCAGAACAAAAAACCTGGGATGTATTGAGAAACATTGTACTGTTGATCAAAAACCTGGGATGTATTGAGAAACGTTGTACTGTTGATCAATACAATTAATTACAGAAACGACATTTTTTACTGTAAATTGATCCATCTCATTGAAACATCACAATAAAAGCATAAACATGGTTTATTTATGTGTTTAATTCTTTTCAAGTTATCATGAAAAGTGTAGCTTCTGGTAATATGATATTCATCTTTGTAAAAGATGTTTTTTAATTTAAACCTTCACGATAATTATTTCGAACACAATATTCAAATAGAGGCGAAACCTTATAGGTGGGGCCCTTCCTTTTCTCTTCTCTTTACTACCCATTCATAATTTCCATTTGCCAGTTCGCTCAAGTGACCGTTTAGACCCCTGGGGCTCTTGTTAAAACTACGTCATAACAAGTAAAAATAAAATCAACATTATGGCAGAGTTTGTGTAGCATAATGAATAGCACACGACCCATATCATTTAGCAAAACAGTACAGATTGTGCTCTTTTGTCCAGTTTAATAAGTTATCAGGCCATCTTCTTGTATTCTCCCTGTTCTGGTTATGTTTCCCTGTTCCATGTCCTCTTCTATAGGAGCCAACAAAGTTACTTGTAGATATCATAGTAAAGAATTGGTTTGATTATTGATGAAAAATTCATTTTGTTTTTCCAGTTTTAAAACTTTGACTTCAGTGTAGCTCGTAAACTGTATCATACGATTTCAATAGTTTTCACACTACTTACAATGTTACCTCTGTGCAGACATTGTGTTCCTGAGAACGTGGTACCCTGTAGAAGTTCCACAGTTCTACAACCCTGTCACATCACTACTGCTGCCCCAGGAACAGAAGACAGCCTGGATTGGCATGAAAACAGTCGGCCAGTTACGATGGGAAAGGGGAATAACTATCACACAAAATCAGGACTCCTTATACAAGGTACATAGAGATCTTGATAGTTGCAGTTTTAAAGTGATCATTTCTTTTGTTCTCTTTCTTTTACTTTTTGCCAACATTTCAGTAATTCATCATTTCATACAAATTTGTTCTTGAAATGTTAAAAGAAAAAACCAGTAATAAAATTTTCATTACAGTTCAAATTTGTAAATTTTCTGAATATAAGCTGTGCTAAAGTGAAGTTTGTGATTTAAGGAGATAAGCACATTTCTTGATTTAAAAACAGTGATCTGTTTATGAAAAAATCTATTTTCATATCGGTAGAATTTAAAATCAAATTTATCTAGAAGCTGATAAAATACGATGTACATGAAAATTTGTTCACCATTTGCAGGCATTAACACTAATATTATCAGATTTATTTTGAATTTTTATGATTTTACATGACTGTTAACTTTAACTTTACTGGAGGGTCAACAGTATACATATGTACATACAATGTTACATTTATGAAACTGTGTTTGTATACTCTTACTCATCTCTCTTAAGCGTTTATCTGTAAAGAGAAACACTACCATTTTATCATTTATCATTTCCTCTCCTCTCATTTCTTTCATACACAATCAGGGGACCTCATCTCTTTACATAAACCATCAGTGTAAAGAGACCACTTCTGTTACAGGACCATTTTGAGTCTTTGGATGGTTAGTTAATACAGGTCTAAGTGTACATTCAATTTCCCGTTGCTGTTTCAGCCCGTCGAGAGAAAGGTGTATCACAGGAAGCCAGTCACAATTCCTCAGGACCTACAGAAGAATCTCCCTTTTAAGGACACACCAAAAATCCTACAGGCCAAGAAAAATCCCATCAAACGTGTTGCTGTTATCAGGGAGCCAAAAGAAGTCAAGGTCTACATAATTACTATTTGTTTCAAAGTGCATTGTAGTTTCTTCCTTCATTATGTTGGAATTATTCCCGACATGGGTAGAAACATCACCAGATCTACAGTTATTCTTATTATCAAGCAGCCTTCTATTACTAGATTTTGTCCTGAAGCCTATTGTTACAATGTTGACTTTTATATTTATCCCAAGCCTACTACACATTTCAATGTTGCTTATTTTTGGTGCATTTTGGCAGAATTTAAATGATGGTGTTTCTTTGTGAATGCACTGTTTACCAGATGTTTTTTTTCCTATTGTTTTTATAATGTTTTTATATTGATGATCTTTGAAGCTATTCTGTTAATGAAAATGAAAGCATCAAAGATTATGTTATGTTATTGATAACTTATAATTCATAGTTCACAGTGTAAGGATTTTTATGTTTACTCTCTGGAAAGTTTCGTTTTGTGAAGATTTGTTGGATGGCCAGGTCAAAACAATAATTCTTAAAGCTTATTTTGTCAGTATATTGTTGAAGTTGCTCATATTTCAAATGTGATGTGTGGTGGATGTATTCTCGTTTAACAGGTGACCAAATTAACAGATATTCTCCCTTTACAGGTGGCAAAATTGATGAATATGATGAAGACCTTAGATGATCACAAAAAGAAGATGGAGCGGGCTTCGATGCGAGAGCGAGTTACAAACCACAAGAAGAAACAAGGAACGATAGACAAGAAGAAACAACAGAAACAAAAAGAAACCAAAAGACAAATATACAAAGCTCTAGGACAGTTAGAAAAAAAGAAAAACAAATTCAAGAAATGAGTTCTCCAACAGTATTAGGGCTAAAAAAGACTGGTACAATAAGATCATCACTGCGATAATGATTCTTTTTGAAACCACGACAGAACATGTGTTTATTCCAGTGATGTTGTTGTTCTCAGTGATTTGATAATAAAATGCATTAAATATATATTCATGTACATTTACAGTGTATAATAGTTTTATTTACCCTGGTACCCAATATACCATCATTAGATGGTGGGCTATTCAAATAGCTCTTCTTCTGTGGTCGGTCTGTCTGTCTGTAAACAATTATTGTTATCGCTATTTCTTGAAAAGTCCAGGATGGATCTTTCTCATTTTGCATATGTAGATTCCACCTGTTCTCTAGTTGTGTCCATGTAATTTTGGAACTGATCAGAAAAACAAGATGACCGAAAGGCGACCTCAGTAATCAAAAGGCCAAGAGTGCTTGAAATTTGACCTGTAGCATGCTGAAATAAAGGGCTACCAAGTTTGTTCACATTATTGACCTCAACCATTTTCAAGGTCAAAGGTGTCACATACGTCAAAATTTTCAAACAACTTGTTCTAACTAAGCAGAAAGTTTAGGGTGTATATATTGGGCCTGTGGCATTCTGGGATGAAGGGTTACCAGTTTTGGTCAGGTGATATACCTTTTCCCTTTTAAAGGTCACAGGTGTCAAATGTGTTCAAATCTTTTAAACTGCTTCTTCTCAATAATAAAATGGTGATCGAATTCTAAACCTTATCTTTTTGTGATTATCTTTAAAGCACCGAAGCGTCATTATTTACAGCAAAATCAAGAGAAATAAATTACATCTATTCCAACACAACATCCATCCCATTCCAGAATTTTCTGTTTTGTCTATAGCTATACCCGTAAAACATCCACCCCACCCCAGGACTTAGGTTTTGTGTGGGACTATTTTAGTAAAACAACTATACAATCCTACAACTTCAGGTTTTGTTAAGGGTTATTCCAGTAAAACATCCACCCCACCCCAGGACTTAGGTTTTGTGTGGGACTATTTTAGTAAAACAACTATACAATCCTACAACTTCAGGTTTTGTTAAGGGTTATTCCAGTAAAACATCCACCCCACCCCAGGACTTAGGTTTTGTGTGGGACTATTTTAGTAAAACAACTATACAATCCTACAACTTCAGGTTTTGTTAAGGGTTATTCCAGTAAAACATCCACCCCATCCCAGGACTTTGGTTTTATATGGGACTATTCTAGTAAAACAACTATACAATCCTACAACTTCAGGTTTTGTTAAGGGTTATTCCAGTAAAACATCCACCCCACCGCAGGACTTAGGTTTTGTGTGGGACTATTTTAGTAAAACAACTATACAATCCTACAACTTCAGGTTTTGTTAAGGGCTATTCCAGTAAAACTCCCATCCCTCCCTAGGACTTCAGATATTGTTCAGGGCTATTCCAGAAAACATCTATCCCTCCCCAGGACTTCAGGTTTTGTTTAGAAACCACCCATTTAATTCAAGTGATAATTTGTTTAGAAGCAATATGCAGGAGGCTGAACAATGGGTAGAAATTATTTAGTTTTGGAGTCCTACAGTCAAGTAGATTTTTTGCTGGGGTTGTCGTAACAAAGAAATATTTCAGAACACAGTATAACTTTTTTTTATAAATTTATTTCTCACTGAGTCATATTAAGTTCAACCATTATGAAAAATTATACAATATATTATAATTTGAATCCATGAATAGCACACTGGAAAATGCCAATTTCAATGATTATAAGTATGTTAAACTGCACATGGAATAGGTTTGAATAGGTCTCAATTGACACAGTTAAATCACCTGAGGTAATGAAAGATGTATAGAATATATCTATTCCTGTAAAAAAAAAAAAAAGACATTGCTATTTCCTTTTCATTAAAATTTTATTGAAATTGTGTCATTGTAAAATGTTCCCACCTAAAAGACAAGTCTTCAATCACTGCATATCAGCAAATCACAAATTAACAATTTTATGGTCACAGCAGAACACTGCAAATTTCATTACTGGCCATTTTCAGAGTTACTTCTTCTTGTATGGGTAGAAGCCCTCTCCTGTTTTGATTCCAAGCTTTCCTTCAGCAACCAACTTGTTTAGCATAGCACTTGGTTCAAATAATGGATTGTCTGGATACTTCTCAGCCCAACCTGTAGATATAAAATACGGTTTCAATAAACAAAGATATTTAACATATCTGTCAAAGGTTTCACAACACTGTTGACAGTGAAAATTAGATAGACTTTGATGTAGTGACTTTTTTTTCAAACTTCTTGAGTTTGAAGTAATGGTCTCCATCTCTTGGCTTAGATTTATCCTTGATTACATATCTGTTACTATGTATGAGATTAAGAGTTAATAGTATGGTAGTTCTGAAAATCTGGAGCAATTTCATTTATACTGAATCAAATTGCTTACCGTCTAGAATAAACTTCATGGTGTCCAACCCTACATAGTCGCTCAACTCAAATGGTCCCATAGGATAGCCAGCACCTAACTTCATAGCAGTGTCCACGTCACGAGTGGTAGCATCACCTATTGGGGCATAAAGAGAGACAAACCTTAATCTGTACCAAGTGGGAACAGAAATTTTAAATTGTATAGGAACTCAAAATATTCACCTGAAGACAATGAAGGTAAAAATAGTTGTAAATGTTTGAATACTAATCGAAATAAACACCAAAAATTTCTGTTATTAACTAATCCTGCTTTCTGACAGCAGATAATATTGACTTTTGTTACTCTCTGTATATTCTGTTGATATAAAAGTAATACATATATACAATGTATAGAACTTGCCTCTCTCTACAAGTCGCACCGCTTCTGCCATATATGGTACCAGCAGCCTGTTGACTATGAATCCTGGTGTATCCTAGAGTTTAATCATAAAATATTACAATAATAATCATAACACTGGTTAAGAATCAAGAGGAAATAAAAAGTTTAAACCCATAACGAAGCTTAAATAGTCAACAGTGAAAGCAGATTGTGTGAAATATTTCTTTTTTTTTATTTTTGAGTAATGTGAGATTCTTAATGCATGTAATACACAGACATATACAACCATCACATGACAGATATACCTTGCAGTTAACAGTTGTTTTCTGCAAAGCTTTTCCAAAGGCCAGTAGTTTATCAAACGTTTCATCACTGGTTTGAGGTATTCTGATAACCTGAAATTAAAAAAACCAGTACAAGATAAGTAGGACTCTCTGAATTTAATTGCTCTATATTTCAAGTCTTGAAAAGATACCAAATAGGAAGTAGACAGATTCCAATTACACATGAATTTAATTTTTCACACTCAATTACCTCCAGCAATTTCATGACCGGAACAGGATTGAAGAAATGGAGACCACCAAATCTGTCCATTCTTTGTGTACACTCAGCTATGTCTTTGATGGGCAAGGAGGATGTATTACTGGCAAATATGGTATGTCTGTAGTAAAAAATTGGTCCAATCAGGAAACAAACACACAGCTCCCACAATATATGTACCATAGGCTACATTAAAATAATGAAAGCATTTATATACTCAGAATTTTTCTTGAATATTAATACACACATAATATCAAAATATTGAACTCATTATTTTGCATGTATTAGACCATCTTCAATACTCCAAGGGTTACAATCACTTTTGCTTTCCACACCCCTTGAGCATTTTGTGGCAATATAAAAGGTTCTGAGTGTGACACTTTGTAGATAAGATCAAAGACTATTTTAATGCTTTGATGTACATTATACCATAATGGTATGTTGTAGTGGCTTTGAAGTTGGGTATCACTCCCTTGTAACCTTCAAAGGAGCATATCAGTCTGATTGGTCTATTTTTTTCCCTGAAACCAACTCTAGACCAATCAAATAACTTTGCATGTGATTTCAATTTTGCTATGAGCTGTTCCAGGGGTGCAGAGAGCGAGTGTAACCTCTGGATTATTGAGGATAGTTTAGCCGAATTTTAAGTCAAAAATCCACAAATCATCCTCCATGAAAAATACATTTGTGTCCAATTTAACTGATAATTACAGCCTAATACAAGAATTGAGCCATGAAATCCCTGGTGCCAAGAAACCCTCACTTATATAGGTACAGGTAAATCATACAAAAAACAAAGAAGGATGAAGAATACAGGTATCATGGTTGTATTTGGCTGTCTTACCCAGGATGATGAATAAGGTATCATGGTTGTATTTGGCTGTGTTACCCAGGATGATGAATACATGTATCATGGTTGTATTTGGCTGTCTTACCTAGGATGATGAATACATGTATCATGGTTGTATTTGGCTTTCTTACCCAGGACGAAGAATACATGTATCATGGTTGTATTGGGCTGTCTTACCCAGGATGATGAATACATGTATCATGGTTGTATTTGGCTGTGTTACCCAGGACGAAGAATACATGTATCATGGTTGTATTTGGCTGTGTTACCCAGGACGAAGAATACATGTATCATGGTTGTATTTGGCTGTCTTACCCAGGACGAAGAGTACATGTATCATGGTTGTATTTGCTGTCTTACCCAGGATGATGAATACATATATCATGGTTGTATTTGGCTGTCTTACCCAGGATGATGAATAAAGTATCATGGTTGTATTTGGCTGTCTTACCCAGGATGATGAATAAGGTATCATGGTTGTATTTGGCTGTCTTTCCCAGGATGATGAATACATGTATCATGGTTGTATTTGGCTGTCTTTCCCAGGATGATGAATAAGGTATCATGGTTGTATTTGGCTGTCTTACCCAGGATGAAGAATACATGCATCATGGTTGTATTTGGCTGTCTTACTCAGATTGATAAATACATTGTATTCTGATTGTAGATGATACTTACTGAGGGGCTGCCTTATCCAATACTGTAAACAGCTGTCTTTTCACATCTATATTCTCTACAATGGCCTCCACAACAAGATCTGCATTGCCAACTGCATTGGAGGCATCTGTTTGGATACTCACTCTGTCAATGGCTTCAGATATAAAAGCTTCCCCAGCCTATAACAGTCGTGGAATCCTCATTCATGAATATTGTCATTTTTTCCCAGATATCTTCCAAGATATGTACTAAAACAGTGTTTGAACTTCTTATAAACTGAATTTCTTACATTTCAATGTAACTTGTTACATTATTGTCGAGGAAATACAAAAAGTATACTGCAATATTTCTTTTAAAATATGGTATGAATCTTTTATGTCATATAAACACAAATAAAAGCGTGTAATAAATAATTTAAGGTAAATTACTTTTTAGCTTGAAATCCGAGTCCAAAATGACACAACAAACCTTAGCATCTTCAGCAAACTTTTTCTTGGCTACCCTTTGCAGACTTTTGTGTATAGAAGCCTTGGATTTGGCTAGAATATCCTCAGACTGATCCACAATTACAACTTGATGTCCAGTAGTTGCTGCAACCTATATCAATGTCAAATAATGGAGGAGTCGTGACCAATTTTAACTAATCAAATCAGATTTTTAAAAAACCATTTTCTTTTTTATATATTTTTTTATTTTTGAAGAATTATACATGTAAAACAAACATACACAATACATGTACATGAAAAACCCATAAACTCTTATTTATTAATTGATAATTATATACTGGGTCATTCTCACTTGCACAAACAAATGATGAAGCGAGGATAGAAAAAGGGGTAATGGAGAGTGTGGAGGGGAGGGGGTCAGAAAGAAACGAGTGATGGTATCATTGGAATGTAAGGAGGGGAGGGGTTGGGAGAGTGGAATGAGGTTGGGGATAGTATGTAAGAGAGGTAGTTTCTCCAGGCTACTTAGATTTATAAATCTGATATCATTTCTGATGAATTTTTATTTAATAAATAAATATATAGACTGTGCTGTGTCGGCTTGATTTACTATGTGGTTACAAGCATCATGAAATATAAGGCAAATTTGAAGTATTAATAGTGAAATCGCACTAGAGATAAATGTATAAATAACTAATGAGAACTTCATAATAGACAAACATTCAAATACAAACATTGAGTATATACCAGAACTGGTTACTCATATTTTGATTGAATTGGCTAACTTAACTGATTACCAATAAATCAGATAAAACCACAATTATTATTTAAGTAGGTAGCCAAGTATACAATAACTGGTTACTTATAGAGTGGTTTAACAAATATGAAATAAGTGATCAGATATATCATATACTAGTTACCTATAGACTAATTACTAAATCACATAAATAGGTAATCAAATTTACAATACACTAGTTATTGAGATCTACTGGTAGTAAAGAAGTTATTTATATATATTGACCATCAGATATGTCATATACTGGTTACTAATAGACTGATTCCTATCAAGATAATAAGCTAGGAGACAGATCAGGACACCAGTTACTTGTTTAATTGGGAGTTAAACATACCATAAACTGCTTACTTATGCTACTGTGAAAATAAACTACTAGTCACATGAGTAACTGTATAGTTGATATCACCACAAATTGGTGACTTATTTAAAACCGATCATGATCAAATGATGGGTAGTTCAAATCGCTCTATGCCAGTTGTCTTTGTTATCAGTATTTCTTAAGAAGTAGTCAACAAAGCTTTCTAAAATTTCATATGAAGGTTCCTCTTAGTCTCTAGTTGTGCCCTTTTGATTTTCAGACTGATGAGATAAACAAATGATCATCTTGAATCTTTCTTAAATTTCCAATGTTGGCTCCATATTTACACCCTTTTGATTTTGAGACTGAACAGATAAACAAAATAGCTGACAAAAGGTCACCTTGGATTTTGAAAAAGAAAACTTATAATTGCTATTTCTGGTGCGAAATACTGGATGGATGTTTGTCAAATTTCATATGTAGGTTCGCATTGGTCTTTACATGTGTCCTTTTGATTTTGGGATGAGAACTGATCAGAAAAAAACCCAAAATAGCCCATAAGCAATCTTTGATTTGACAAAGATTATTATCACTATTTCTTAAGAGGAATTTTCAAATTTCATGTAATTAAGAACAAAAATGAAAGAAACAATAGAAAACAAGTGAAAAGATCTCTAACTTTTTCAAAGGATAAGTTACGTTCAAACAATGTTGCATCAAGGTCCTGTGGAATCTCTAGTCCCATTTGTGAGCTTATGCCATATTGAAGAGCTGTTAATCATTTTTCCTAAAAATTGCCATAAGTTAAGAATGATTAAGATAAGAAGCATCCTTGATGAAAGGTGGAACCAATTTGGTATAAATGGTGGGTCAAGGCCTTCTGGGCTTCAGAGGCACAGACCAAAATGGAAAATTAAGCCAGCTATTTAAAATCCTTCTATTTCTATAGAAATGATTGGATTTTGTCCGAATTTGGTTTGTAGCATCCTTGGAGTCTTTGAGGGCAGAGGGGAAATACTTCATTACTCTGTTAGGATGTAAGTGTTTTGAAAATTAAGAATCATCTATGTGGGAAAGGGAATCAATTTTGTAGAAATGGTGGATCTTGACAAGCTGGGGTCTGAGGGCTGGGCCCAAAATGGGAAATTTAGTCTGATTTGAAAAATTCTCCATCTCCAGGAATGGCAGAATTCTTTTCAAAATTGGTCTGAAGCATGCTTTTATCAACTTTTGATTATATTGAACATTAATGTCATTATCAGATACCTATATCATCCCTGTAATCAAAATGATAAGTTTGTTATATACATATATATCAGTATTTTGTAAATTTTTAATTTGAAGCTTACAAATTATATCTGTTCAATTAATGGTGAATAAAATGTTTTGAAATGAAAGTTGAAATATGTAGATAAGGCAGGCCGATGGGCTTTCTATTTAATATAAGGCAATGCAACAGCCTTCATTATCAGCCTTCATCTTTAAAATCTTGGATCACGGTTCTTACATCTTCATTACAATAAATGTTTCTATTGATGAATATTAATGCTACTTCACTTCAACTTTGTGATTAGGCAGTGGGATGATGGAATATAAAATGTATGTAATATCTACACATAACTGGATAAAAACTAGCTTTGTTGATTAGAACAGTGTTTATTTAGTCTTAATTTCAGTTCAGTTCAGGGAAGATGCCTAGACATCATTGTTGGGTAGAGAGTTCCAAGTGTGTCAGTTCTTTTTCTGAAAGCATGACCCTTTATATTAGTCCTGAATCTATTTCTATGTAGTTTTTAACATTTCTCCTTGTGTTCTGGTTATCCACTGGAGGCAAGATTGGACTGATTGACGCATCTATAGCATTCTTACTCTTAAAATAGTCAATTGCAGTTGACAAAATAGAGTTCAATTGTTTAAAACATGCATCTGACATTTTGAGATTCTAAGGATGTTAAAAGATTTGCTTTAACTTAGTTAGAGTTATTGGAATATCCTTGCATCTAATACCTATCTTTGTTTCAAGTAATTTGTGTATATATGTGAGGTTCTTTTTTCTCTCTCTCTTTCTCAGAGGAGATAGGAGGGCATAGTATTATGATGTCATCTTTCACTGAAACAGCGTTTGAAGGTCACATGTTATTTTGCATCCTGGACTTTATTTTAAAATGGAAATTTTGATTTTCCCCTCTCTTGTCTTGTTAAAATACAAACAATTCAACAGATATTTTGCCCTCAACTAAACTACTTTTTATAAATTATGCATTGTGTTCTGTAATAAATTAAACCCAATACAAATTACAATGACAAGATATACAGCCATTCACGCCAGACATCAAAATGTGTAACGACTCCTGTTGGTTGGAACCAGAGGAAACTAAGACATAAAGTAGACAAATATAAATTTCTGTAAAACTATAAGGGTATTTATTTTATTAAACAAATAACCCAGCATGCAATTTTACAACCATGTAAATGAGAAGGATTAATGTGTTTTCTTGAAGGCATGAAGAACATGCTGCGACATTGATAAGTTCATTTCAATTCTGGGTCAACCAACGATAACGACTCATTCACAGTTTTATATCGGTGAGAATCCCATGTGGCAGTTGCACTATTTAAATTTTCTAAAAAGTAACATTTAATTACCTTACAAGTTTATGCAATTACTCTATCAAAATCTGAATACGCAAGTAGAATGTTGTATCAGTTTAATAGTTTTCCCTGTAGATACCGTGTTCTAGATAGCTCTAAACTGAACCCGTCCTGGTCAAAGGTCGCTGTGCAAATTTTCAGGTAACACTGTCGGCTGCTCAGTTTTCGACTAACAATAGTTACCTGTGCAATACCAGCTCCCATCTGCCCACCTCCTATCACAGTCACACACTTTATAGCTTGTTCACGCATTGCGGACGTGGAAAATCTTCGAACGCATGTCTTTACGAAGTGAGCCATGATTTCGCCGAGTCTACCGTAACGACTGACACACACCGAGTTGGGAGATATACAATGCACTTCCGGTTCCTGTCAAACCGAAAGTAATTATGCACATGTGCACATCTGTAACATACCCAACGTTTTGGGGGATTCTTTTTCGTAACACAAACTAATAGGCACTGCCTAAGAGCGAGCAGAAGTTGGTAAAAAGATACACGTTTTTAACTGCCTGATCCATGTATGCACAGAAGCATGATTTAAAATTTGTTGTATATTTCGCAAGTTTTTAACAAACCATCGGCATATACACATTTACCGATTATCATCATCATCATCATCATCATCATCATCATCATCTTCTTCTTCTTCTTCTTCTTCTTCTTCTTCTAGAAAACACTGATCAAACACACTTGTCTTTCACCTAGCCGTCGGGGGTTTTATTCCCCCAAAGGGATACGGGTTTCCTCCTACAGTTAGACCCCTCGCATGCTTACAACAAGCTTGATTTTCATAAGTTGAAATAAAAAGTTTCCATATGTTAATAAGTCATGCACAAAAGAACAAAACAAAAGACGACAAGATAACGCAAAGCGTGACATTACTTTAAATCAATTTTATTGCAAACAAAATACAACAGGATTGGACAAAAGTTATAATAACTGACTTACGGCCTTTCCATAACAAATAAAAACATACAAATTAAGATAGTCACGCAATAGCCTTAGAACTTTTCATATTTTTTAGTTAAAGATAGGCTTAGAAAATGAGAAAGAGAAAACAAAATTGAGGTAAGGGGTGGGGGCAGTAATTCTGTGGATTTGGTGACTGTCATTTCCTAATCCAGTCGGCTAAGAACTGACTGAAACGTTTAGAACTAGACATAAATTATTGTACAGACCTACAGATGACAATATTTTTTATCAGTATCGAGATTTTCGCCCCCAAATAGAAGGTGTTCAATAGTTATTTCGTTGTACCAGTAAATAGAGTGAAGCATTATATTACGTAATTGATCAAAGTTGTTACAGAAAAGCAAGTAATGACTATAGTCTTCAGAATGATGTCCGCAGCTGCAAGAAGATTTAGGTCGAAGACGTGTTTTGTAAAGATCATAATTTAGGGAGCTGCTGCGGTTTTGGAGTTGGCAATGTATTATATTTACTTGCCTATACCCGTACTTTATTATATAATATTTGTAGGGAGAGTAAGATGAGGTAGAAGAGTTTTGAATTGTTTGATAGAATCAGATTACTTAGTTTCGATAGGTAGAGTATTCCAGGAGTCTGAGGTGCTTGGTATAAAGGATGAATTTATAAGTGTAGCATATAGAGTGGATTTTGAATGTTATTTCTGTTTCTAAGATTGTAATTTGTAGAATTTGACACAGTAGGTGGTAGTAGAGATTTTAGATATGAAGTAACATTATAAAACATAGATAACTTCCTATTTTTACGTCTGTCCGCCAATGATTGCCAGCCTAGCTCCCTGTAAATATGTTTTTAGTAAATACTGATAATCCTGTAGTTATGCGACCTGCTTCATACTGAATATTTTCTAATTTATTTGAAAGTGTGGTATTGCAATTGTCCCACACTTCGCAGGCGTATTCAAAAAGTGGTCTGATGAAAACAAGATATATTTTTTCTAAGTTTTTTTTCTGTTCAAGTTGTACTTAAGTTTCCTAAGTGTTGCGATATATTTAGTAGTTTTTGTCAAAATGTCACCAAAGTGAGAGTTCCAAGTACCATTACTGTTTATAACTACTCCTAAGTGTTTGTTAACGATAGGAATGGGTGTGTTGTCAAAGAGAAAATATGGGTTAGAAGGTATATTTGTGTTAGAAATCATGAGTATTTCAGTTTTAGTTGGATTGAAGCTCATTAACCTTTTTTTGAGACCAAAGATTCAGCTATTGCATGTCGTAGTTTATTACCTGTTTTAGATCGTGTAAATGTTTAGAAGAGTATGCTAATGCAGTATTGTCAGCGAAAAGTCTAGTAATAGATAAAAGAGTGTTTGAAATATCATTAATGTATGCAAGAAAGAGAAGAGGGCCTAGAACAGAACCTTGGGGAACCCAGGCTTTAACACATACTTCTCGAGAGACAATATTTTTAAGAACAACTGATTGACATCTGTTGCTTAAATAGTTTTTTTATCCATTCTAAGACTTTACCCCTTATTCCATATTTTCCTAATTTAATTAACAAACCATTATGCCAGACTCGGTCAAACTCTTTAGAAAAGTCACAGAAAACGAGAGCTGTAGATTCGTGATTCTCAAGTGCTAAAATTATATTGTGGTAGAGTTCAATAAGTTAGTGAGTCGTAGAGTGATTTGGCAAGAAGCCAGATTGTAATTTGTATAGAAGATTATTAGTGAAAAGGTAGTTATAAAGATGTTTATGGATTATTCGTTCAAAAAGTTTGCCGATGCAGCTAAGTAAAGAAATAGGTCTGTAGTTATTTGCCAATTCAGGTTCCCCCTTTTTGAATATAGTTGTCACGTAAGCAAATTTCCACGAATCACGAAAAACAGAGGTACGAAACGATTCGTTGAATAGATGGGTGAGAGGTTTAGCTATTTCACTAGATATCATTTTTAACATTCTATGACTTATGCCATCAGGACCAGCTATTTTGTTAATGTCTAAAATATTAATAGTGTCTAAAACCTCTTGTTCTGTTATTTCAATATCAGTAAAGGAAGAGTCAGTTGTATAGTTAAAGTAGGGTCTGACATCATCAGGGTCATAAGGTCAGAGACAGAATTAAAGAAGTTATTTAAGACATTGCATTTGATATAGTCATCAGTAGTTATGTGTTTGTTAGAAGGATTTAGTTAGGGAGGTATGTCGGTAGAAGTGTTACGTTGTAAGAGCATGCGCTTTCCAGTTTCCAGTTTACTTTCGGACTAGCTGAACTGTTACGGATGAGACCATCAACATTATCATAAAATGTGTTTTAGCATGTTTAAGCATGTTATTTACTTCGTTTCTTGCACGTTTGTATTTAGCTTCTGAATGTGCGGTTTTAACTCTGAAAAATACTTCCTTAATCTATTTCTCCGCTGAATTTCTTTTCTTATATCTCTGTTCATCCATGGTTTGTTAACTTTATTTACAGTTATAAGTTTTTTAGGAATATGTTTCCCTAAAATGGAAGTAAGTTTTTCAGTGAATAAAACACATTCCTCGCTCACATCATCAGTGACGGAAAACAAATTTACACAGTTTACTTGTCTAGCTTCAGTTTGAAGGGTTAAAATATCTGCTCTACTGTATAACCATATTTTCCTTTTAAAAGATTTCGGTTTTGGTTGATAGGACAATAGAAACACAATGCTAGCTCTGTGATCACTTATAGCTTCCAGAACAGGTACAACGATGGATGAATCGGAGGATACATTATCACTAATATAAAATGGATCGATAAGAGAATGTGTATTGTTTGTTACTCTAGTCGGACTTGTTACCATGTTTGTTAAATTGTGTTGTTGTTTAAGGAAGGTGAGATCATTGTTATTTCCAGTAGGTAAGTCAATGTTAGTATCCCCTGTCAGTATAACCTGAGGTGTATAATCAAAGGATATATCAAGAGAATGTTTCAGCAGTTTTGTCATGGAGGCTTATATAATACACATAAAAGATATTTCTTATTATCAGAAGAAAATTCAATCCAAATTATTTCGTCGTTTGACGTGACATTATCCCCGCGCCCCGCACACAATCACAGATATATGTTAATATCAAAACAAGCTTGATTTCTATTTGGTATGTACTGAAATTGAGAACTTGCACTAGAGCACTAGCTTGATGCCTGTCCAAAGTTTTGAGTAACAGGTAATTACCTTGAACGCCAATTGTTTCCATGGAAATAGAAATAGTATTTAAATGGTGAACTTCCCCATAACTAAAGAAACTACTAATGTAACAAATGTAAGTTTTCTGCAATTATCTTGAATAGTTTCAGAGCATTGGCCAAGAAAAACTGGAATTTGTGATGAGGGTTATCTGTTTCCATGGTAACAGTAAATGTATTTATAAGGTCTTTGACAACATATCTAGATTATGAAAATTAATATAAAAAACAAACAAATCTTCAAAATAAATATACAAGTTTCCGTTTTAGAGTTACAGAGATTGCAGAGAGGGCTGTCTATCATCTTTACTTAAAAATAGACATGAGTTTGTAGTCAAAATATGGTGAAAGGCAATATAGTTTTAGTCGGGTTTGTAAAGGCGATGCTTATTGTTTAACCGGTTTTCATTATTAAAAACAGAATGTTCTCAACAACCGTTTTCATTTCTCTTTGCTATTGAGAGTTTTCGTTCTGTTAATTAATAAATCATAAGATGCTTTAGAACCTCCAGTTTTTAGCAATGTTGACTTGCCTTGGTAGCAAAAAGAGGATAAAGCTGTAAACAATGGTGAGACTATTCTATGATTTAAACATATTTTATTATCAGTAGCAGATAAATGGATCAGAGACAAGTTTTAGCAACTTAGGAACTCTTCTCCATAAATGAAATTACAAATAATCAATATACTGGACGTAACACATATTTATACTATAAATATGAAGATAAATAATTCGTAGACGTACTATTGTAAGTTTAAATCATTTTGTCAAAAGGAGGAAAAGATGAGATTTATAGGATAGAAAGAAAAGAAGAGAAAAAGAGATAGATAGGTTTTTTTATCAATTTTATATCAATTCTGTACCAATTACATATCAATTCAGTGTCGACTACAAACAGTGCAGAATTAGGTAGTGTTAAAACGCTTCGTTTGCTTTATAAACTTTTGAACAGATTTAACAATAAGATCGTTTCTATATTAAAACATACGTCGAAATCATACAAATTATCAAACAATATGCGTCTACTATCCTGTTTATCAATAATATTCCGATGACAATCGGATGTCGGTTTTGTAATTGTATTCAATTTCCATCTCCCGAAACAATAGAATAATTTGTCTATAGCACTCGACATCCTTTCGCAAAATCTTTGATTTTCTGAGTAAGCCATCGATTATCAAGTGAGGCAAAGCCGAGATAATCTCGATAATTGGTTAAATGGTTATGGTGAACAAGTATATTAGCTGTACACTCTAGCACTACATCTATATCTAAATGTTCATCGAAGCCACATGTTTTGATAAAGATAATTATAAGCAACATAGTCATTGTCCTTTCACTCTTTGTAATTTTCTTAGCTATGTACGTACGTGTTTATTTATAATAATACACAATTTACTGCCCCAGTGACTGGTTCCTACATCTGAAGACAATTTTTTCCCAAAGACGATTTCTTTATTCCAAATTCATCGAGCGGCGCGAGCCAGTCGAGTAAGGCAGATACATTACATTAAATTTCAAGCTTCACACGAATTAATGTTGTTGTTTTTCTATCATTTCGCTCTTTGTAGTTGGTTTAACTAGCTAGCCTATGTGTTCTTCATTCCTAATAATAGGTAATTTAATATATAATGCTCGCTGGATCTGCATTTCTTTTCTCTAAATTTACCGAGCGGCGCGAGCCAGTCGAGGAAGACGGAAACAGAGTAACATGCCAAGCTCTATGGAGTAGGTACAGTGTATGTTGGATATTAAGCTAGACCTGTGTGAAAAAATAAACTCAGAATCTAGGTTCAATATTTTTGATGTTACTTGGTTAACGACAGTTTTCGTGTAAAGCAAAGATTGTTGGCTAGGATTTGAAAAAAAATAATAATTGCAATCAAAACTATCAGCAATTATCCTCCAACTGAATATTTTATTCAAGGCTGAATTTATTTGAGAGCTCAACAAAACAAGCCACCAAGACATTCTATTAATAGATCTATTATTAATGCAGTGTCATTTAATGCTGGATACAGAACAGAATTGCGATCAAGGATATGTTACATTTCTACATTATTCGTTTACCTTGACATTTTCCTACAATGAAAAACAACATGGTGAACTTTGATGATTTGATTTACCTATGGCGATTTTTCCATTTCTAGATAGTAGCAAACCTGTTCCCCAATTATAGTATTTGAATATCGCAGTTGCCTTTGTGTTTCAATGGTGTGTTTCCAATATCACAGCATCTCTGCAAAAATGGACACCTGACAGATAATCTCACAATTCAAGGTTTCGCGAGATGCGGGATGATGAAGATTATGGGGCAGTTTTATAGCCGTCGAAATGAAATCATTTGGAACTATTCTATTTCCATTTGCAATAATAAGTTGAACATGTTTGCTGATTATAAGTATTCCTGGTGTGTCATTGGTAACCTTGTTCTCATTTTGTAAACATGACATTACCTTGAATTTTTCTCCTTGAACTTTTTCAGGATTGTCTGTGTAAATCTACTTTTGTCAATATTTTACCCTCGTTTCATTGATTCTGCATGTGAAGACTTGTTGATATTTACGTTGTTGTTTTATCAGACAAATCTTTAATACATCGTATATATAATTATACTTCAATTATACTTGTCAATTAAAAAATTAATGAATAATTAGATTAGTTTTATATAAATTATTAAGGAAACAAACGGTTGATGCTGTGGGTTATACAAAGGGTCTATTAAATGATATTGAATAATGGTAACAATATACAAAAACAGTATATTATATTCTAATTAATAAATTTATTTATTTAATTCATACACTGACGATTTTGTCAGGGAAAACGATTTTTTTCTTCCAAATTTAATCCATTACAAATTTGTGGACCATCATGGGAAGTCAACAGGAAGCTGATTGTATTGTCCAGCGTACCGTTGTTTGGGGCTGGAGGTATACCAAGTAGTTTACATATCATAGGATATATATCTATTGTCCTGAAGGGCGGTGCGGAAAATCCTGAGTGGAAATTTGGACCCATGGCATAGAATATTGGCTGCATTGTAATGAGGCTGTTGTCATATCCGTGGTCGCCAATCCTTCCAATTTTTCTGGACAGTTCTGTGTCCTGTTAAAATAAATAGAAAAAAACTTTTCTTATCTATTCATATATAATATCTGCACATCCGAAACAGATAACCCGAAAATCTCAAACTAAAACCATTGATAATTACATGCAATTTCTACTTTCTGCTCCGTATGGGTTTGTATACGCTTGTAGAAGGATTGCATTTTAAGCAATAAGTCTTCCTCAAAATTACTGAAAATATGACACAGGGTAAAGTAAAGCAATGACATAAAACTAGCATGTTAATACAAAACAAAAATTACTGGTATAAAAAGATTTGAAATTTAAAACATAACAAAAAAGAATCCATATTTGTCATTTCTTAAATTCAAGATGAGTCAATATTAACACTTTCGTCCATCGGGAAGTGTCGACCATCTACAAAGTTTCTCTCTTACATCATTTTAAAGGTCGATTGAAAATTGTCAGCTGTGTCTAATTAAGTCTTATATATGTTTCACGCCATGCATAAAGAATTTCACGCGATACAAGTCGTAGTATAACTTTGCGTACATTGGACGAATTATATCAATTCACCGTCACTGCAAATACAAGATTGATGATGATAATGATATGAGAGACATGATTTATTTGTATCGAGATGATGTCAAAAAAGAGATTTAATAAGTGTTGAAAAAAAATCAACTTACGTTTGTAATTGTCCAGCCTTCGTTCGCTACTATCAGTACTGGCATGACCCTACGGTTGTTCTTGTAATGCCATACTTCCGGTATGTCTTCTTTCTTGTAGGCCCTTAAGTTTGCATTTTTGTTGATGGCGTTGACGACTTCATCCTCTTGCCCTTCTACAGGTATCAATTGCATAACAGGACCAATTTCTAACGTCGTTATAATCATTGTTCGGTGTACTACATCATAAATATTAATTAGTTTATTATCCCAATTTGTAGCTGTCATTCCATGGTCACTGGCAACAATTAAATTAACCGAATCTTTAAGTCCATTGTCTTCTAACTTATTAAGTAGCTTCCCTAAAAGTGAGTCCATTTCCTCAACCATTTTGACCAATTCTTTTGACTGCGGACCGAATTTATGTCCTGTATTATCTGGTTCGTGAAAATACAAGGCAACAAAGTTGAAATTGTCTTTTACGAGCATTTCGATTGCTATGTCTAGTCGATGCTCAAATGGCACAGATTTATTGTATTTGTGGATTTTGTTTGCACGCATTCCTTGTATTTCTATATATCCTCCTGGCCAATGTATGGTTCCAGTCTTCAGTCCATGTTTCCGGGCTGTAATCCAGATCGGTTCTCCTTGGGTCCACCATTTGGAGTCCGGAAATAACTCTATAGAAAACATATCGTTGAATTCTGGGTCATACATGTCGTTTGCTATTATGCCATGGCTTTCCTGGTATAAACCTATGTTAAAACACCATCAAAACAGATTAAGCTACATGTTGTTCTTGTATAGAGTTAGTATCAGTGAACTTAATAAGATATCATTTTGCGATTTATTGTTTTGGTAAATGGAAACGAGGAATTGTTTCCTATTATTTTCCTTTTATCCATTATATTGAAGGGAAGAAATCTGTACATCTTTGGTATAGCGGTATGAATCAGCTGATGAACCCTCTTTATATATAGAACATAATCATCATGCTGGATTTTTGTCTGTGCATTTTTGGCTGGAAATACTTCGATTGAAGTTATACATTTCATATAAAAACGAATGACTGACCACATTTGTCCCATTATTCATAAAACTGCATTTTGTCATTCTACATGAAGGGACGTTAATCTTTATATGATAAAGTGTTTAGCTGTGGATCTAAATCTATTTTAACATTTGTAGGCTCTATGTTATTCAACCTTGACGACGACAAACAAACACGCTCCAGTGAATTTATCGAAATTATATTTAATAAAAAGATAGTCAGCAAGTGTTCACCTCTCTACCAACGTGCTTACGTGTTTTAAACTTGGTCTCTTAGAATTAGGTAGACAAGTTCATTACGTGTCTTTGAACAAACACGACATATATCGTTCTCTAAGTTTAGCGTAAACATGTGTCACTCTCTATAAGAAATATTCCAGTTAAAGCAACAAATGCAGACATCATCAACAGAACTGATGGTCATTTTTGTTAGTACTAGCAATGATGGATTACAGTTATACAAGTTATTAATATAAAATACTAACAACTTATATTACCTGTCGCAATGCTGTAGTGTGATGGAAGTGTTTTCGTTGTAAACGTACTGTTGACATATTTCGCCTTTACGCCGTTCCGTTCAATTTCGTCGAAGTTGGGTGTATTCGCTTTCTCATGGTAGTCGTATCTGAAGCCATCCATTGACACTAATATAACCTGTTTGGGGTATTTTTTGTAAAATTTTGGTATCACCCTATTAGTGAAAACAATTGTTAACACCATTGTAATAATCACGTGTCGTGGTGCCATGATCAAATTCGCTGTCGGGTGGTGTTTTGTCCTGTTACATTACAATTTGTACTAAGGTCATGCATACCTGATCATAAGATCTAGATAAGCTATATAACTTATATATAACTCTTTTTTAAAAGTGGGAGAAAGGAGAAGACACCATACGGATACCTTAGCTTATCTAGATCTTATGATCAGGTATGCATGGCGAAAGTGTATACATACACATGTAAGGTATTTAAATCTCTACACGCTTTACATGCTTTACGGATGGTTTGTTCTCCTTTCTCCCACTTAAATACCGTACATAACTCTAAATCTATTACGAATAATGGTTCAATTCTGTGTAATTCACGAACGACATCACCGTTTAAAGAATCTCACCCGCAAGATTCGGCACGAATTTACTTTCGGACCGTAGGGTTGGAAGTGTACCGAGTAACTACGTGTGCAGTTTATGCCGTTATGCTTGTCATTTTCTCTGAAAATACCTGTAACAAAAAGGCGCTGAGAACGTTGATATCCTTTTAAATAATCCATCGAGATGCTTTTGCCATGTAACTTACAAAATTTTTAATTAAAACAATCCCCTCGCTTCCATTTATAATGACACGCCGAAACACAAACACATCCAAGGTATTATGATGCTTGACCAATATGTAAAGTTTGATCAAAGAAAGAAAGTTGCTAGACCAATGATAAAAAGTTAACATATGTACGGACGGAAACGTATATCCACTACGCGGTCGCCTCGACGGGACAATACATTGATGGTTAAGTGCTGTTTTGATAATAACTGATCTGAATGTCTTTTGTAAATATGAGAGCAAATACACAACTGAAAACGTGCTAACAGAGGTCCGGGGGCATAGGCGCGTGTTTTATTGACACCAACCATGTTTGTTACGTCCTCAAATAGAAATACTCAAATAGGGTAAACAGTAATGAAACTACCACACATACTAATGAGGATATGCACAGTTACTTCGTTACGTACAAGATACTGGTGATGAACACAATGAAGCATCCTATAATCTCCATTTATTTAATCTAAATTCATGGAATTGCTCTTGAAGTAAACCCAGTTCATTAAATTTATCACAAAGGCAACCCAATGCATCTTCCCATGAAATCGAACAAAGCAATGCTCAAATAATGGCTATATAACGCTTTTTTCATTGGATGCTTTCTTACTCGTCCAAAATGTATTAATCAAATCTGCCGCAAGCCCAAAGATGGCGGCCATCTTTGCTGTCAAGACAGCTGGTTATCATAACGAAATGTTCAAATGTGGCGTTGAAATGTAGAGAGTACGATGACTATCTTATTGACATATTCCAATTCACTTTTCTCCGCTTCAGGTGAGTTTGTCGGTATTGTTAGAACGTCGACAAAGACGATAAACGGTTGAGATGTTCTTAATCCACGGACCAACTTCAATTAAGCTATACCGACTAAATAAAATTATATGTCACTTGACATTGTCACCTACCTTAACTGTATAATTCTACACGGAATGATACATAAATCCCAGTCTCCATTTGAAAGAAACGTACTGAATCTCACGTCATGGTCACTTGTCGATGCCCACGATACCCGTTGTAATATCGATCTATTTTTGTGAACTAATACTTTTACAATTCACAGGTAGACAGGACAAAAGGCATGTACACAAGGAATCAGTAATACAATAATTTAGACTGATAATCCCAATCTCTCCCAGAGTGCATTGCCGTACCCCAAATAACATCTCTGTAAACGGCTCACGCCATTTCAAGCTTCTTGATAAACGTAACCCTGTCTAATAATAAAGTATTTCATTATTTTTCTGTTTTGTTATTTGTTTTATCCTTTTGAAAATCGATGTTTATCTGGAAAAGGTCTACATTTGTTTGTATGGTTATAAACGTGATCGGTCATTTTGACTTTGAGTCGTGTTTGGATTTTGTACTCTTGGTATGCATGTTGATAAACTAATATCAGTGATAACTGATTCTTATTTGTCTACAAATGTGGCACACAACCTTAAAAAAAGTTCAAATATAAAACAATATACAGCTGTGTTCTTCGTTGGTGATATCAGGGATACCGCCATAGTTTTGCATGACGTTAAACTTTGACCCTGACCACAAGGTCAACTATTGGTAGTTCGTGAGCCGTTTATAGACGTGTATTGACACTGTTAAGGAACGATAACTCTGATAGAGATTGTGATATTTCACACAGAGAAACATGTTGAGCCTTTTCGTATGCCCGACCTGCTATTACTCTTACTACTGATCTATTAACAAATTGACTGGAAAGTAGGTGAAGCTAATACGTCATCAATGGTTGAAAGGAGCGTTTTGCTTGGCTACGAACACATGAGGGACTTAATTAACGCAAGCATGTTTCTAAAAATGTTACTGCAAATTATACATTGTCTACATTTTTACGGAAATTGTACCAACAAGAACGATCCCTTGAATGTTAAATTAACTGGCACATGTATATCTCAAAAGAATCGGGGAATAGGAATTCGTAGGGATGTAATTTAATGTGCAGTGAAAGGTTGTTTTGTTCTCATTTTCCCCAGCTCTGTATATTCTTCATATTTACCAAAAAGTAAATGGTAGAGGAGGAAATGAAATAGAAAAAGAAATTCAATGAAATGATAATTTACTTTAGTTGACGTGATATCAGTAAAAAATGGAGGATACCGAATGGTTTCCCATTTAATATCATATATATTAAACGAGTATGATATAATATCTATAGAAGCCATTTTGATAACGCTGCTTTACGTTGAATTCTACCATTTTATGCTGTTATCTGGCGAGAATCCCTTACAAAATTGTTTTATATACCACATTGGATAAAAGCAGAAATGTACACGGAATTATCTTATGGTAAACCGAATAATGCAAACTATGCGTCATTTGCATCCTTAAAGGAAAACCGGCGAATAGAAAGCACCTCTCTGATTGGTCATGATAGATTTATCATCACTGGAATAATTATATGATCACCAATGATAATATAAAAAATTCTCATATCATTATTGCTGTGGTGGTATAAGCTATAATAAAAAACTTTTAGTAGAACTAAATATGTTTAAAAGCATACTTGGTCTTGATTTAATAAAAGTTCACGATAAAGTTATTCTACGTTATTTATTAACCAATAAATGGAAATAACCATTCCAAGATTTCAGATTCGAGTTGAAATATTATGAATGATTTGATATGATTTAATATCTACACTTAAGATTGATGAAGTTAACTATCAAATTGGCTTTCAACTTTCATTTCATTGAAAAAAATACTGATATGAATAATAATAATAATAAATAATAAATGACTTTATTTAAGAGTCGATAACACTTTGAGTACAAGACTCTTCTAACAAGTGGCCGACAGTAAAATGTACAACATTAAGATTACAGCACCACATATGATATAAAAATCACAAATATCACAGTAAACTAGCATAATCATGAAGGACTAAGATGTACATCAATAAAACAAATGTAATGATAAAGGCACATATTGAAGAGATATATAAAACGGTTATAGAGTGATTAATAATATAATAAAAGGACTAAATTAGCGAGGTTTTGTAAGGGATACAGGACTGATAATTAAAACAATAAATTGGCAACATTCATAAAGGTACCATACTATCTTAGGGCTAAAATAAGACTGGCATAAAAATGTGGATCTAGGTTGGTAAATTAGAGATGAATTTTTTACAATGAAATTTAAAAGTTGGTAAGGTTCCACATTCTCTGATATTTACTGGAAGCTGATTCCACAAAGTTGGTCTAGTATATAGGAAGGGATTTTTAAACTTTTCAGTTTTGTGTTTGAGTATGATATAGTTACCAGCAGTAGATGCCCTAGTTTGTCTACTGTGTACACTGGACACAAGCATATTACAGTCCAAGTAGTTTGGACACAGTTTGTTAGCTACTTTAAACATTAGTATACATTCATTGTAGTTCATTCTTTTGCTAAAAGGTAACCATTTGAGTTTGGTGAATAGTTCATCCCCTGATACAGAGTAGTCAGCATCCATAATTATACGTGAATACCAAATACTTAATCGTAACGCACTTGCGTCTGGGGTTCGATTGCCGTAAATGACGTTAAATGATATGGGTCACATGCCTGACCATATGGGTTTTCCTCGGTACTCCGGTTCCCTCCCAAAATTAGACCCACCGCTTGCTTCCTTCTTGATCCAAATGTGTGGTTAGTACTTGTTGGGAATAGCATGTTTCGCAGATGATGTAAAATAGATAAAATTAAATTTATTTTCAAAAGTGATTAGACAGCAATCAAAGGGCAAAATGACTTTTGATCAGTGCAATCATTAATATTGGATATATATGGCAATAATGGTATATAATGCTATCCTGAAATCAATACATACTAGTCAAACCAAATCACAAAACCAACACAAAAATACCGACATATTTACAAAACTGTAATTCAAACCACCGGGGGTAAACTATTAACAAAGGAAAATTGTTATTTTTTTGCCTCAAAGACGGCAAACACCATGTAAAATCAATGCACATGCATTACTCAACTATATTTAGCAAATATGTTTTCTGCTTGTCAGCCATAATGGCTTTACAGATGTGCAATAGTACTATTGGAATTTTTGTTGAATACTTCGATTTGAGAAACAGTCATTAGTGTTACACTAGTTTTCGAATATACGATATATAGTTTTCCCATCAGCTTGAACAAAACTGTTTCCGACAGATTTCCCCACTGATCTCGCTGCTGAAATGCAGCTATTCATGATGTAGTGGTGCTGTTTCCGGTTTCAGGTCATTTTTTACTCTGTTGCCAGTTTTACCGTACATCGTGACAATTTTCTTGGTGAAAATGATACCAATACTGTAAACCACCAATAACATCGTTCCTAGTATGAGAAACAGATAGCAGAGCCATAGGTTGGTGTAAGTCTCCATCAGCACTCCTAACAAAAACGGAACTATTGCACATCCTGCACTCGTGCTTACCATGTATACGGAAGTAATCTTACCAGTCATCGGAGTTATATATTCGTTAGTCCAGGTCAACATCAATGAAAATATCATGGCTCTAAAGTAACCGATAACTCCAGCGAACAACCACACTCCTGCACGAAAGTTTATCACAGAGAAGATTAGAAAAAACGCAACACCAACCAATGTACCGACTATATGAATGCAAAGGTATACCAGTGTGTTTAAAGAAGATGCGAAAAGTGACACAACAACAGCTGCTATGCTGCATCCTCCAGAAATAGAACTGATCACGGCTCCTTCAGCTGTATTAAAACCCAAGTGGTCGACACAATAAACAGCTAAATAGGATATGAACCCCTCTCCTAAAGCCATCCCTAGAAACAAAACGCTGCTACCGATAACAATAAAGATAGCAATGTCTTTCAATGGTAAGCTGTCATTCTCTTTCAATTGTTTGGTTTCTACTTCATGTGATACTTCCGTTTTTGAAAGAAAACAAAAGATAAAGAATGGCACACAGAGGCAAATGTACAGAAAAGCAGTTATAGTATATGGTATGAAAAGCTGTGAGCTTTGTTTTGCGACTGTGTCCGTTATATTTCTTTGCTCGGTGTGGCTCGGTATGATCACTTCATGAAAACTGTCATTGGATGCATCAAATTGGGAGTCTTTATCCAGAAGGAAAGGCGCAGCCACGAACGGTGATACGAATATCCCCGTCCCAAACATCAGCTCCAGGAAGAAAAACATCATCCTTTCATCACGCCAAAGGGATAATATTTCAGCATTACCAACTGAAACAAAATATGCGAAAATAATTTTATATCTTTAGATAAGTTTTGTTCCTTATAAATCATATGACCACCGCATGGACTGGAATCAGGAAATCAACAATGCAATACAAGGTTTATATCAAATATATTGTCTCGCATGATTTCGTTTCAACAAACTTTATTGATTAATGGTTTTATTTATGATATTTAGGATTAACAACACATGGTCGGCACTTTTTTTAACGAAATGGACAAAACTCAATCATGCTTTTATACCAACGTTATCGATGATTCATTACCAATTTAACACATTTTTCAGTCTCAAGGCATGGGGGTTTCGACCAAAGAGTCAATTGTCTCATACCATTTTAGAATTACCTGTGTCTATGATACCAGTAACGATGCCCTGTCCAAAATGAACGGCAACCATCATCGCAAACACGTAACACCATGGAGTGGCTGCGATTAGAATCCCAAGTAAAATTAGGCTTACTCCATACAGAATGTTCCGGTTCCCTCTATCTGCCAGATATCCTCCACCAATACATCCCAATGCATAACCAATGGAGTTACAGGTAAATATTAAGGATCCAAGGTCCAGTGTCACGCCACTTATAAACAGTATGTCGATCAATGCAGGGCCGTAGAGTCCTCTTATCCAGCCCTGTAATGATACAGATGTGGATATTTGTTTATAGTGACATTTGGTCAGAAACAAGATCGATTTGATTGTTACCTGTCAAATACCTATGTCAGAATTATTAATCACTCAATGCACAACAATGCATTCGGGAAAAAATTAGTCGTTTTCTGACATTATCATTGTTATGCGAATGTTTGTTCTTCAACGAATTAAACTATCTTTCTTTGAAAAGTTATTCTATTGATCAGCTTGTACCATCTTCTATATAATCCTATGAAATATCATTGGGTAAACATTACTGTTTCAGTGGAGTTGTCCTAGATGTAGTTGCATGGCTTTCCAACATATACTTGACGTTCTTCCAAAATCATTCAATAATGAAAACTCATGTCGTTAGTGCATCTTCCTTTACATTTTGTCATATGTATCGGACGATTTTAACCAATTGCTGTTTGAATTGATGAATTCGGTATATATGAAACACGGAATATCTCAAGATTAGTGTGGCAAAATCTATTTTCATGTGCGTTGTATTTTTTAATATAAAAATACAGTAAATATAAATACAGATACAGTACACCTTAGTATTTAGATATATTTATCATAATTATATTTTTTCTTTCTTGTCTTGTCTTATATTTCCACATTTAAGGCTCGGACCATCTTTGATGAGTTCTGGCAAGAACGAATAGCTGCATAATTAAACTTGACATTTTGCAAGATGTTCTTGGGTTATGTGTCCTTTGCATTATAACACTGATCTTAAAAAAGCAGGCATTCAAACTGAAGCTGTTCATTGTTTACCAATGACTTTTATATCACTATAAATCACAGTAATCAATCGATTTTATATCGGATTATACATTTTTTTCAAAATGTTCTCTAAATCGTTTTACTTACGAGTGAAAAGAAAGCGCCATAAATGCATATAGAATGTAATATCTTCTTTTTGTTCGCTTTGTCTGTAACTCGACAGCCATATCGACCGTCTGGTTCATCTTCTTCACCTCTGACCATTACAGTGCTTGATTTGTGCCTGGGTAATAGAGTGAAGGCATGAACGATAATATATAGATTGTAAAATGAATGTACGACATATACCTTATATTCTCACAAGAGTCTTTTTTATCGTGGGATGTCTTTCATAGAATATTATTTTTCCTTTCAAAATTTTAATCCCTTGTATTAGAGGGTTTATTGCCACAATTTCTTTTCCATATTTTTTATTATTTATTTTAAAATGATGTAATAAAGCTGGACCTTTCCCCTTTAGCGTCGTCTAGTGAATACGCCTACCTTTTCTTCAGAGGAAAATTATTTATTTAACCAAAGGCAAATGAAAAGGTAACATTATGTTTCCTCATACAAGAGGGCTTTCATCCGACATACCTTTACTTTCATCCTCATACACACTCCTTTCATTCCTAGTTAGAGTTATCTCCCTTTGGACCATTAAAAAAACTGTCAATCTCCAAGTCTGATAAAATTGACAAAAACAAACACTTCGCCGTGTCAATGTCCAGTGGTTGGCGGAAGCCCTACCAGACTGGACATTGTCAAAACAAGACACGTTTTTTAGTGTTGTTAACATATCAATTAAATACATACTTGCATTATCAACATTTTTCCATGGTAGAATATTTAACGTCCCTTTATATAGATATTACAATTCTGCATTTACCAACATATTTCATGGGTGCAAGAGATTGAGAAGTTTCCCCATCAATAGTATTAATTAATTAATTCATTCATTCATTTTCTTTCATTCCTTTATTCATCATTAATTAATTCATTTATTCAGTTGTTCTTTTGACTGATTTGAAACCTAAAAATAAATTCAATGATATTACAATTAATGCATAAGACAGTAGTTAGCAAAACAACAGCTGACACAGATATCAAGAAAAATAAATCTGTAAACAGAACTCTTCCTACTAAGTTGAAAATTCAAAAGGAAGTAAGTAGAGATATGTAACTATCTTTATCCTTCAGAGAAATGGATTTTGTATATTTTTTTTACATTATCAAGTAATAATTCTTTAAATATTATATATGCAGACTCTGTATTTATGTTTTTGTGTTGATATTTTAAAAAATGTTTCTTATCTTCCATATGGTGTATTTCATACAAGTAGTTATTGTCATAATAATGTGTTTGTGTTTATCTTCAAAATTACCAAGAAGAAATTTATCTTCAGTCCTAATGACATCAACAAGTTCATTTTTCCATGGAAAGTTGTCTGACATTCTGTATTCAATTTTCAAAAAGAACTGCTGTACATAATTGAAGAGGTAAAATAAGTGTACATTTCCCATCAGATCTGTTAATGACTTACAATTTTGCTTCTATATAGATTATTCTATGTAAGAAATTCCATTCAAAATTTTTCAACTTTTGGCATATTGCTATAAATTTTGCTTTTCCCCAAATTTGCCCCCAGTCGTTTACTTCAACTCCTTTGTTTTGAAAATATTCTTCCCGTTTGATTTCTGCTAAGGGTTTACAGTCTGGCATCAGAATCTTTTGTATAAATTTTTCTTTAAGTATATTGTACGATACCATTTCTTTTCCATTCTTGGTATTATTCTTAATGACTAAAAGCAAGTTGTTATCTATATATAACTCTTTTTCTTTATATACATTATCCTTTGATATTTGTACAAGTCTCTGTGGAATAGATACGCCTACTTTTAATGCGAAACGAGGTCACGTGACGCGTGTCGTCCAAGTGTTCCTTCGGCAATGCTCTATTCACCTATTAAAACACTAAACTACTATTAATTGACAAACGTTCAAAATGGTTTTAAAGTGAAACTTACCTTTGAAAATAGTGGGGTTTTTACACAATGACGTGTAACAACGAACGTGGTTTTTACCAGGAATTTATGTCTACTTTTCGATAACTACCTACTTTACAGTGTTGTACACACGTCATTTTTATCTAGGTATTCACCTTGAAACATTCTAGGTAAAAGTTTATATTTGGTCGTGAGGGATGACGTCAATACACGAATGAATAGCTCGGAACTTTGTATATAATTGTAGTCAGATGTCTTGAAATACTGAATCGTTCATATCAACATAAAACAAGTACTTACACAAAAAAGATATAATTAACAAAATGCATAATAAATCCATGTGAGATTAAGAATTAAGAATATTTCAGAAATGACGCCGGACTTAAACTAGCGGCTTTTACACTTCGAAGGACTCTTCGGGTTGTTGAATTTTGTTTGTTTGACAACCACATAACAAGTTAACAGAGCGATATAATAAGTAGTAAGTCGATCCTTCTTAAAACAGTAGTCAAATGTCACACAAAGCATTGAAAACAGTTTCAGTCATTAAAAACATTGACTGTAATTGAAAAATCCGTGATATATACATATGTATCCTTAATGAGCACTTGTTATGCAGCAGTGTCATCTTCATTCAGGTAATGAATTATAATAGAATATTTGAATTAAGTTAAGGCACGAACGTAATTGAAAATATATAATAATAATAAAGGAAGTAAAAGACTTAGAAACGTACAAAAAATATGGCATAACGGGTCAAATCACTTTACTAATCACCAACATGAAATGTTCATATATCTATTACATCGCGTATCATATCAAACTTAATATTTCGAAACTGAAAAATGTATGTAGCTTAATTTAAAAAACATAATTGTTGTCCATATAAAATTCTAGATAATAGATTTAACTTGATATTTTTGTACTCACCTCACGGTGTCCCAGACTTCAACTAAATACCGGTATAGCTTACATAACACGCAAGCAAGACGAAAGTTGTAGTTAAATCCGACTGGTGGAACTTGAGAACTTCAAAACCGCTGTTCCACGGGAAAATCATGATTGCGTAATCATGTTACAAAATGGCCTCCCTGGCTATCAGGTCAAAGTTTTGACAAAGTCGAAAAATAACAACACGTTGTTGGCTACCTTTCCTTAACATTCCAACCAATTTTGAGCTCAATGGCACCTGTGGAACTGGAGAAGTTAAAATATGTTTTTCAAGATGGTGGCCATCTTGGATATCGGACATACCCGAAAAATAACAACATGTGATCAGGACCATATCAGTATCATTTCATGCAAGTTGGAGCGCAATTCCACTAGTGGAACTTTGAAATGTCGAATGTTTACTCACGGCGGACGGCACACGGCTAACGACGGACGAAGCACAATGGTTATAGGTCATCATGACCCTTTGCCATGCTTTTTATAAAGCCTTTACACCGGCGGTTATTTCATGAGAAAGCATTAAATGTTTTATTCTCCTGTTATTTACCATATACAATGAGAAAAAATATATTCCTGTCTGCAAGTCCCTGTGCATTGTTGATACGATAGTTCTTTCTTTTACATAGACATTATTAATCCTCTTTGGTGCTGTTTATGCATCTTTCGTTAGACCGTCAATCGAATACGCGCCATGTGTGTGAGATGGCGATTCACATGAACTGTCAAATGTCTTGGAAAAGGTACAATTAGAAGTTGCCCGAGTAGTGTCTGGTCTTCCCTCTATAGCCTCTTGTGATGCTCTTTATCTCGAAACAGGGTAGGTAACTAAAATCTACTTCCTATAAGATTCATAATAAATTATCTTCAAATTACCTTTATGATCTGCTTGCTCCAAAAAAGTCGTGAACTCCGTAACCCAAACAACTACCAAATGCCTTGCTATAGATTATATGTGTTCAAAGTCATATATCCTCTCTTCAATTAGCTTTTGGAATGGACTTGATAATTCGGTAAAATATAGTTTATCCGCTTCTACATTCATTAGAAAAGTATCGCATGAGTCACACATCTTAGCACCATATTTGAATGTCAGAAATCGATATTATCCGTTCTTTTAGTAAGATTAAGGCATAACTGCAGTGATCTGAAAATGATTTAATCCGTGCAGGTATTTTTTTAACACCGGTCTGTCATTGCGGTGATGGAAATGAAGATACGTACCCCTAATTCCCGACATGCGAGCAGAACTCTTACATTCCCATGCAAATATTGATTATCAGCTTATTCCTGATCTTGGTACTCTTCTTTGGGGGCTTTTGTATTAAACAAATGTTGATCGATATTATCATTTTTGTTTGGTCCTTCATAATATCTACAAATAGATTTGTAAGAACTTAGTGGACAACCATTGCAATCGGGACATCTTATCCTCCTTTTCACACTTTGTCTCATTTCACTTCCCTTTTCCTTTCTGTCTGTGCTGTTCAATAAATCTTTTGAGTTCTCATACCTTTTGTCATCACGTGTAAATTGTATCGATTGTATATTATAACTAAGTCGGGAGAAGGCCTGGTAAGTTGCTAAATCTTGTGCCAAATCCCTCTAGATTAAGGTAAATAAAATGTTTGAATGAATGAATTAACGTTTTTTTTTATTATACAAACTATGATTTTTATAGAAAATCTTACTTCAGGACTGTGGTTATGACGTAGAACAAATTCTTCAATTAACCTAAGAAAAAGGGATTCCTGAACGATTTAACTTAACAAATGAGTCTTGTTGAGAATTATACACTAACTCAGAAATGAGACGATATATGCAAGTATATTGCATATCTTAATTTTATCTAAACGTATCAAATTCATTGGTGTACTTTTCTGACCTTTCAACCGAGGAAGTCTATAATACATGTATATCCATTAACGGTAGCGTTCGGATTGGCATTGCCTAAACTGGATTCCTCTTCAATGTATCGGTACTTTTATACCTGGTAAATGAACATTATCATACACCTATCCCAACAAATTATTTTTAATATTAGTCAATGTCATCGTTGATATGGACACAAGAAAAGGTACTGCTTGGCGACTTGGTGGTTCGAATTCTCTTCTGAAGAAATGGATCTGCTACTCGTGTAACTGTTTTTCTAACTTCTTATTCTCTAAATCATTAACACGCTGACATAAAAACTACACCTCCGTTGCTGCTTACTGATGGTAGGACAGGCGATTTTAAAGATGTGTGTTAATCTCTACCATCCAAAAAGTTTGAATTTGATGAAAACATGCATGATATTTCGGTTTTTGTTTTGTTTTTTGTTTTTTGATATATATACTTTCCCATACAATTATTTTCAACTATATTTATATAACTTAAATGTATTATCTCCCTCTTAATAATGACTACACCCTTAAAGGAGCAATTTCTGAACAGGTAGTAAAAGAAAAATTTGAAATCCTTATGAAAATATCCATAGTTGAGCAGATAACTTCAAACTGTTGTTCACTGTGATCAGCTTATAGCCCAGTCCTTTAAGGCGCTGTCACACTCTAACGTATAGAGCCAGCGTATGAGGAACGTATGGACTTTTTGGACATACGCTGAAACACACTAGAGGTACGCTGATGGTACGTTACTCATAGTCGAGTACGCTTCTCATACGTTGAGAATGAGTGGGTCAGGAGCATATAATGAACGTGTGTCTGACGTGTGTCTAACGAATGGCTAACGTTATGATGGTAGTTCTAACAACAGTCTAACGTAGTCAACTTATGCCTAACGTGTTCTGAGCGTACAGCCAACTTATCCCATGTGTATTACATGCGTATTTCCAGCATATGGGGGATATATATCTATGAAATATGAACATATATATATAACACCGACTTAGATATATATATATATATATATATAATTAATCAATGGTACGGGAACACTGGGGTCAATGGGTCACACAGGTGTGTGAGCGCGTGCGTATGACTTCATGGTTAAATTTTATAACCCCCGCTGTGTATACGTCGAAGGTACGTTGATATATGTTACTTATACGTCGGTATACGTCCAACTCAAATACACATCACATCACATACGCTTCAATGAAAAAATGCAGAATGGCAGTCTGTCAGCCATTTTGGTTTTCTGATCATTCGTCCTAAAATCAAACGGGCATAATTAGGGACCAATGGGAAACTACAAATGAAATTTTAAAAGATCCATCCATTTTTTAAAGAAATAGCGAAACCAACAAGAGATCACAGATCGATGTTTTCGCCCAACATTGCACAATATCAATCTCTACTAAGCAAATTCCAAGACTGCCTGTCAGCCATTTTTTTTTACCACGCTCAAAATAAAAGCAAGGACCAAGGGGAACATATATAAGAAATATCTATCCAGCACTTCTCAAGAAACAGCGATGACAAAAATTGTTTACGGACGGACGACAGACCATCGACGCAGGGCGATTTTAAATTGCCCACCATCTATTGATGGTCAGCTAAAAGTAGGCCTTAACAGTTATTCAAACATCTAGAGGATGTAGCCACTGTATGGGGTATCCATCAGAAATGAAATGAAATAATAATGAATAGTTGTTCGGATCGACTGGAAAGGGAGGCCACTCACGGACATACTTTGCCGCGATTATATATTAGGATGTGTAGATGTAATAGTCAGTATGGAGGATGATTAAAGTCATGTTCATGAAGTTATCTAAAACGATGTTCCATAAAATATGTTCCATAACCCTGGAATCAGTGAGTGTTTCCATGACAACCAAAGAAACATTGAAAAATCCCCTAAAAATCCCCTAAAAATCCCCCTCTACTAGACTAATCATCTGATGTTGGAATTTCCGTGAAATTGTTTGTTAGCGTTTCTTAAAGATTTGCGCCACAACAATTACATCAGTGCTATTGATATCCAACTGTAATACTGACTTCTATTTATCATCTTTGAGATGTTGTCATGGTATGGCAGATTTTACAAATAAAAAAAAACAGTTAATATATTAAACATTAGACAAAAGATGACATTTTGATTTTTTTTTTATTATCATTCATTTTTTCCTTTGATAGATAAACAATATAACAATAGAATACAGTATCAATAATTTGCAACAATTCATGAAACAAAAAAACTGAAATAAAATTGAGGTTGACATGAACCATACAATGTCCCAACCTTTGGTCACAATTCTGAACATTTCATAAAGCAACATTCTTTCAGCTCTGGTGTGTTACACAGTGCAGTTAAACTTCACAGCAATTTAATAATCTAAAGCTGAAAATTTATTGTACAAGATCTTGCCAGGACAAAACAAAACAATAGGTCCTAGAGTCAGTGTCACTCATCTGGTTTCGTTCGGCTAACATTGCTTTATTTATACTTATGGAAAAGAATCCTGAAGATTTATATCCATTTCCTCATTCGGCTCCATCCCTTTGCCCCTCGAAGGGACAGACCAAACTTTTTTACAAGAGTCAATTTCATCTAAGAATGCTTCCCACCAAAGTTGGACTCATTCATACAAACAAGAGGCCAAGAGGGCCTGTATCGCTCACCTTGATATTAAGGTCAATAATCAAAATATTTCCTCACCCCACAGATACTGCTTCGAAGTCCCTAGGGGTGGGGACAGAGATCAGTTCTTAATCTCTTGATGTCCAGTAATGCTGTTTAGTTATGGGATCATAATCTTAATGGCTTCAAAGATATAATCTATCCTGGAGTGGGACCAGACCTCAGGACAAATGATAAGCTATGATTGTGTTTATCTCCTAATGCTCAGCAATGCTTAGTAGTTATTCAATGGGGAATACAACTCTTTCAAAGAGCAAAAGATCCAATAAATTGTTGATGGTGCAAAGCAATGATATGAAAATGAACTAAATCTATTGAGGGGTTTGATGTTTCCTGTTGGGCCACGATCTTCCTTCACTCAAGCATGGTCCAGACCAATTTTGAACAATATCCTGTAATTTCTGAAGAACAAGATAGATTATGAAGAAATTGGTACCTGTTTTACCTATTGAGCCCGCTCCTTTAGCCCCAGAGGGGCCGAAACCCATGCTTTATACAAAACTTATTTCCCTTCACCCCAGCATGCTTCAGACCAAATATGGACAATACCCTGCAATTCCTGAAGAACAAGATACAACACAAAACTGGTTCACCTTTTCACAAGGACCAAATTTTAATAAAAACCACTCAGTCGTTCATGAATAGTTGCAATATATAGTAAAAGTTGACAGATGTTGGAGGGACAAAGGACACGACGGAATCGCTATAGCCTTTGGGTCAGGTGAGCTAAAAATGACTTTAAAGTACATTCCTCTATTTCCCTTATCTGGCCTTACCTCTCTGACCGATGGGTGTCTGACCAAGCGTTTAATAGACCTAATTTGAACAAAAACCTGTTGTTAATGAAGAATTTTCGTGATCCTAAAGCACTCCTTATTGGCCCCACACCTTTGCCACCAAAGAGGTCAGAATCAATTTTTATACAAAATTGAGTCTTCTTCACTTAATGATGCTTCAGACTACATTAAGATGAAATACATTTTTTTAAACTATTTAAAACCATTTCCTTTTCTTTTTTTTTTTTTTTTTTTGCTCTGCCCATCAGGCCTATGCCAGTCAAACACATCGTTTATACACAATTGTCAACTTCCCAAGGGATATTTCTTTCCAAATTTGGTCAAAATCCGCTCAGAATTTCCTGACTAATAGTGATTTGAAGAAAACATTAACATAAACAGCACCACATCATCAGCTCACAGGTCCTTTGGACCACTTGAACTAATGAAGCACTAAACAAAATGACAAAGAGTGTACAGTTTGATAGTTCTCCTCAAAGAATAATGCACAACAAAGGTACCTTAGCACCCACCAATTTTTTTGTTTAATATTTATCTTTATCTTTAATAAATATCTTTCAATATACACCTATTCATTATATAACAATGCTTCAAAAAAACAAAAAAAAAGAGAAAAAAAAAGCTTCTTGTTCTTCAAGAACATCAGCTAGGTAACCTTTACAAAATAAACAATTTATCAGCAAAAACTGAAACAAGGTTCTGCAAAACTCTTATAAGCACTTAAGTACTTGTGTTTCATACTCATGTTGTACATATCACAAGCAGGAACTCAGACCAGTGACACGTGAAATATGAAACAGTATGATATGAAACAGTATGATTGTTAACTCAGACCAGTGACAGTGAAATATGAAACAGTATGATTGTCGTTTAAATACATATACAAACTTTCTCAAAGAAAGCATGCAAAATGTTATCAGATCCAATTCATTGTTGTTTGAGTATTTTTAACATGGAACATTGTAATTATAGACTTGTAGTTTTCATGGACATGTAATCTCACTCATGTATGTTTTTAAAAGATATGATCAAAATAGAAAAAATAAACACAGAAGACTTCATAAGGAGAGAATTTACCCCCAAGTTTTCATAAAATCCATATTGAGATAATTTACATACAAGTGATCTGAGAATCCATAATGAAACAAGGGCCAGTCTTCGATGGAGAAGCAGTATTTGACTGAATAACTAAGTTGTCTTGGAATAATCTGAATATCATTTGGGGAAGTTTTAGCCATGTCATACCACTATTTGCTAATATAGTATGTGAACTTATGATTTACATACACTATACACTAAAAAGGGAAGTTTACGAAAAATCAACTAAGGGGGAATAATTCAGAAACTATGCATGCGAAAGGGGCAATTTTTATACGTGACACTCCGTCACCTTGAGATATATATGTGTACAAAGTATGGTGACAACAGACCAAGGACTCACAAAGTGATGGTCTGGACAAGGAGAGTTTACAACGGACGGACGTACAGACGGACGTACAGACAGACGTACGGACCAAGGGACAGACAATGCCATACCAAAATATGTCCCATCATATGACGGGCGTATAATAATTTAAACAAAAACAAATTCATACTAATGTTTTCAGAGAAACCATAACTAAATTAAACATTTCAAAACCCATTTTGGCAAACACTCATATCTTTCATACATGCATCTTAATCATAAAAATAAGTAGATGTAAAAATAGATTTCATTATTGTAACAGTTCATACACTGGTCAGCATTTAAAAATCTACTACTCAGGCCAACCAATAAGTACTTAATTAAAACTGAACAAAAAGGCTGTTAAGTGGTTCTCACTTGTGTAGCATTGGATATGTATGCTATCATTACACTATTCTTACATTAATCTGAATCATTGTGGACCATGGATGGATCACCTGCTCTCTAGCACAACACCATTATTGGAAAAGCTTATCATAGTAACCTTAATGTTCATCTTAAACATACACTGCATGTTGTATGTGAAATAATTAAAGCCATGGGGTCTTGGTTATTAACAAGGCCCTTAGCATCTTCACACATCTTTATTTGTTCTTTTATTAGATGGGTTCCTTCTCTTTTCTTCCAAAACCTGAATTAAATCTGTATGACTAGGAACTACAGGAAACCTATAGATAAAATAGAAATTATTTATCAAGTACTTCTCAAGATTAAAAACCAACCGGCAAGCGGTTGACAACTTTGTTATTTTGACCACTTCATAATGAATAATACAAACCAAATAACCGAAGGAACCAAATTGAGAATTATTTGTTCAAATTATCTCAAGAATTTGCAATAACTAAAACATGAGAAAGTTGCCTCTGCCCTGTCAGCCAGCTTAAATCTGAAAATAATCCATGTAGTTTGTCTTGAGAAATAGCAATTACAAATAGCTCTCGAAATCCAAGATGGCCATCTGTCAGGAACCTTTAGTCTTATCAGTCTAAAAAAAATATATAAAAACATATCAAACGACAAAAGGGTACCTACAGATAAAATATGAGAATGATCTATCTAGTACTTTTGAAAGACAAGTGATAACAAGAACTGTTTATGGACGGAGGGATGGTGAACCATGGAAGTAGGGTGATTTGAACAGTCAACCATATGATGATGGTTAATTCAATTAAGACAAAATTAGTCAACATTTAACCCAGAATGCTACTGGTCCAATATCATAACCCTCCACCTCACAGTTGTGAAGAAGAATTCAATAAAAGATTTCAACACTTCAGATGACTATCCTTGAAAGTAGATCAATGTCACTTATTTGAAAAATACTGCAGGGCAATTAAACTGTATCATTGCATTCCACTTAAATAACCCTGGTAGACCTACATCCCAGAATGTTACTGGTCCAAAATCATGATGCTGCATCTATTAGCTATTAAAAAGGAAGTTGTTAGGGACAGGCACCACACCATGGCATAACTTTACATAACCTTGACGAAGGCAAATTCAATTTTGCAAGTTTTGCTTGATGCCCAGTTTGTATTTGACATCAGCAAAGAACAATTCATTCCATCTAGCACTTGTATGCCAAAACATTAGTGACAATTGGCTGATACATTCTTTAGTGAATGCTCTGCTTTATAACGGTAATCTGATGCAAAGAATAGTAATCAATAACATTTATCATCAATAAATAAACAGTCATATGTCCAATAACATTTATAATTATCAATAAATAAACAGTCAAAGACAACTGTGGATGATTGAGAATGAAGAACTAAAATGTTTGATCTACTACCACTAATGATTCAATGAGGTGTCCAGCTGTCATCCGAGTCATGATCATCAGAGGCATACTTATCTAAAAGCTGAGCGACCGACATAGGAATTCGCACTTCATAACTACTGTCAGTGTCAATGTCCAGTTCCGACAGATAGGAATCATCATCATCCGAAGTACTGTCGCCATCCGTGCTAATTCGTGGCTCCCATGTGTCATCATGTTGTGACTGTGAGTTGCCAGTGTTAACAGTCACTGACTGATGTCTGTGAATGGTGTTTTGCCAAGCATCGTTGGTATCGTCTGAAACATCAGAATCTGGTGTCATCTCCTGGTAATCTAAATCACTGTCACTATTGCCAACACTGTCCTGTGGCTCCCATGTGTCATCAGTGTCTGAGTTATACCCATGTAGATCAAAAGTTGCATTCAGAGCAGAATCAATTCTTTGGTTTTCAGTTACATTCTTTTCAGATACAGGAATTTCATTCTTAATATTTCCTGCATCTGTATATTTTTCTGTTGCTTGTGAAGAAGAATTAGAATTGTTTGTGACAATGTCTTTGCTGTTAGATGTACGACATGAATCCTGACTAGAAACAGATATGGAAGTATTGTTTGAAGTCACACAAGTCATTTCCTCTCCAACATTTGAGGAAGTTATAATAGAAGCTCTCATGTTCTCCAAAGATAATGCAGAGTCTTGCTGCTGCCAAGTAAGAAAACTCGCACCTTCAGCAGTATTTTGGTGAGATGATAGTGTCTTTGGTTCATCAGCATTATCCGTAGTTACTACTGAAACATTGGATGATTTCCTACCAGGAAATCCTTTGTCAAAGTTCATCATTCTTTTTTTGGATGATGGTGAGCATTCTTGATTTGAGATACTTGGACTACGTCTATTTCCATCATGTTTACGCTTTCTGGGCCAATGTGTAGAATGTGAAGATGGTGACACACTTGTACTACTGCTCTCTTGGACCCTTTCAACTTCAACATATCTGTTCTCTTCAACATTGTTTACTAAATTACCATGAGGTGAGGTAGTATTTGTTTTTGTATTTTTGTAATCATTGCTGACACTAGATGACATCCCACCTGAGGCTGATTCAACAGAAGCAATATTCCCTTTACATTCCAAATTCACATAATCTGAATAATGGTGCATTCCTCCAAGGAAAGGATGTGTGCCATTTTTTATACTTACCAAAATGACATCATTCTGGTCAATGGGGACTTCATTTTTCAGATCCTCTGACACTTTTTCCTGATCTGAACAACAATTAGTTAAGTTTTGTGGGTTAGCTCCATCACTTCTCAATGAAGCTGTCTGGTCAGTATTGACCTCCAACTTTTTATCACTGGAAGCTGCTACACTACTTCCAATTCTATTTCCAGAAATGTGTCCCTCCCATCTAGAGTTTTCTGAATGAGATGACTGACCAATGCTAGAACTGCATTCTTGTACAGCTTCTAAAATATAATTTGATTGGTCTATGTCAGTATTCCCACCTATTTCATAATTTGAAGAGGGACAGGACTGATTAAGGCTAGGGTTGGAAGTTCTAGCAGCATCATCACCACTTTGATTTCCTGATCGGTCCATAGGGAATCTATAGGTGTTCCTTCTTGAATCTACAGACTGACTTGAGTGGTTATGTTGGTCACTGGAATATGATAGGTGGTGAATGCCTTGTACCCTTGCTTGACTTCTATATTCAGAGCTACTTGAACAATATGATCTGTCACCCTCATCACCGGAGTATATTTCCGACATACTTCGGTTTGTGGCTCGTAAAGAACTGATGTCCCCATGCCCTTGACTTCTTTGATCATCAAAGTGAATTGTAGACCCACTACTGGATGGACTCCTAATAGATCTATTTGGTGAATTAATTGGTGTAGGCGAAAAAGAATATGTATATGCATCACTGTTTCTGTCCCTCTCTTCATCCTCATTTTGATCTATACCAAAGTCTCTATCCACATCATCATCAGATGAAGAGGATGAAGATGAGGATGATGATGACAAAACACTGATATCAGAGTCCCAGATATGACTGCGAGACCGCGAACCGGCACGTGTTGTTGATATATCTCCGTTACTTTGATGACTATCTTGTCTGGGTTCTGATGTTGGTTGTCTACCTGCTGCTGAGCTAACTCCCAAAATACGGTTCCCATTCACATCATTGGTGTTTGACATCACCGAGGCTTGATTTGCCCCAGTGTCTTCCATTCTTGCATTTACAATGTCTTGATTTGTTACGTTTGTCCCAGGCTGGATCAAGTTAATTTCCTCTGAATTTCTACTAGGAATTTCATTTCGCAATCTCACATTTCGTTGGTCTCTGGTTTGATCCATGGTCCTTTGCAAGGCATTGGTGATTGCTTGAATACTGCGATCAGTGTTCTGTACATCATCAAACCTCTCATTGCTATAATCATCCAGTATAAAGTTGGACCCATCTGATGCATAGTCAGTAGTGGTATATGATGGAGAGTAGGTTGGGGAGGTCCAGGGAAAAGGAGAATGTCGTCTTCTTCCCTGTAATTCCCTGGACAAATCTTCTAAGTTTTTCTTCATTGTCTTTGTTAATTCTGTCAATTCTTTGACACTTTTTTTCAAAGTTTCAACAAGTGCTGTACTTTCTGAAATGATAAACAATCATTACAAAATAAACATACGATCTTTATAAACAGTGTGAAAAAGTGTAATGACATTAATAATTTAACTTAATGTACAAATTCTTCATACTAGGACATGAACACAGATGAATAAATAATGCCTGTTCACTGTACCTAGTTAATGAACTAATTTATAACAAAGTAAGTGTTCATTATATAGGCTACACTACAAATAATGATATAGCATGATTTAAAGTGGATAAAAAAAATACTTGCCAGTTGCAAATTTTTGAAGCTCTTTGAAGCAGTCGTGAGTATCGAAGACTGAAATGGGTATCATGAGACCACACTGTTTGTTACATTGTTTTTCACGAAATTCACACAACTCTTCTTCATGTTCACTTAAATCTTTTCGTAAAAGTTCAATTCCACATTTACTGAAACGGCATTTCAATTTTTCATAGTCACAGACTTTCAAATGACTATCATATTGTTCAAGAAGAAGAATTTCTTTGCAACCATTTTTGCTAAAATCACAGGACATCTGAAGGCGATTAATCATGTTTTGTACAATTGGAAGGACTGGCTTGAGTCGGCGAGTTCTCAAACTGCGTCGACAAGTTGGACAATTGTGATGATTTGTTAGCCAAGTTTCAATACAGATCTTGCAAAAGACATGTCTGCATGGACTCTCCATTGGGGAATCTAAAACACACTGACAGATACAGCAGATCAGATCAGGATCTGGGGCTGGGTTAAACTTCTCCACATCAAACCGAGACATCCTTCTTTTAACTTCTTCTGGAAAGAAAAAAAAATACTGTTAAACATATACCAAGTAGCTACCCATAACATGAATTATCTTCAGACCACACTGAAATAGGCAACACCAATTGAAGCTTTGATAAGTAGAAGGATTCTATTATTTCTATTATAACATCAGATGAGAAAATCTTTTAGAAGTTTGTAGCATTTTAATAATGCAACAGACTGACATTTATTTTGAATTTTAAAAAATACAAAAAAAGATATTACAAGTCCATAGATTCAGTGTTTTAATAAAAGTGACATGATAAGAGAATTATGAAAAAAAGCAAAGATGCATTTTTAAAATGGGTTTTATTGAAAAGTTACATTACATATTGTATTGGTATGGCAGAATATTCTAATGCCATAGATTAAGATACTCTTCACATGAATGCTTATTTTGTTATATTATTTACAGTCAGCATTTACAACATATTTATAGCAAGCTTTCAACATTCACGTAAATCATGGCCAGGTGAGCTAATAACTATGTAATTTTAAATTTTAATTTCTCAAATTTTAATTATTGCCTCCTGGCATGGCATTTTTATTGTTTAAATTCAACTAGGAAAAAGGATACAAGAGAGAGAGAGCAATTAATTTTATTGAAGATGATTACACCATGCCAGTTTGAAACTTTAAAGAAAAACTAATTTATCTTTTTTACATATATATTTAAATAATCTTTTAACTTTGAAATCTTCTTCAGCTAGGGCTCCCATGAATTAGAAACGACCAGACATGGTTTGAAATCTTTCAGCTATAAGGCAGCCAGGTGTGGAACAGTCTGCCTCTCCAATTGAGGAAGGTGGATAATTATCCAGAGGTTGTCAGGCTGCTGCACACCTGGGCCCTGTATACTCATGCTTTATCTGTTATTGTGTTTTGAGTTCTGTGTCTCTTAGGTGGGGTGTCAATTTGAATTTGGTTTCATGATCCTTGTGGGCAAAGTAATGTTGAATATGATAGGACAAACAGAGTGACAGATGGATGGACAAGACGGCGACTATATCCTATAGTCTCAGACCGTAATGTGAAATCAAAAGTGACCATTACAGGTTTACAGGATTAATTGCACTATGCCAAACCATGGATGTATAAGGTCGAGGGTTAAGAAACAGGCTTCATAAATGTTTCTTTGTTGTGAAAAAATTCAAATTAACTAACTTTGCTGGTTTATGAACCAATTATTCTAAAGGAAAAAAAAAGAAAAAACTAATCTTTTCAAAATAAACAGTATTAGAAAGCTAAATGATTTTCAAATTGATTGTGCTAATTTTTGTGACAAATAATATACTTTTGATATTTGTAAAAAAGAAATGTTTAAGCTATTTACACCTGAAATATCATCCTTAATTTTATACCACTTGCTGCCCCAAAATATGGGGAAAATCATTATTACAAAAAGGTGGTATTCAAAAGCTCTGAAATTCTTTTGATTAGTATTATTTTTGTTATGAAAATGAGCTTCACTTCTCAATGGCCTTCAAAATGGTTCTGGTCAGTGCTTAAAATAACTACATCAAAAAGGCAAAGGTAGACAAGATTAGATAACAGCCGCAAGAAAAGGGAACTTCATGACTTCATGGCTAAATGTATCATTTCATTAACGAGTAAGTAACATCTATAAGTACATCCATCCCCTGAACATACTAACCTCACTATCACAAATCATAAATGTTGAAATGTGAACAGCCATGAGAAGCCAATATTTGTGTGGAATTACATAAGTATGGACAATGATAAAGCTACAATCTATTTTGTGGCAGACAAACTGAATGAAGACTTAACTAGGAACACCACAAAAGTATCAGCACCATCACCTAACAACTAAACGAGGATGGGACTTAAAATGATAGCTCAAGTGAGAATGTACAACTCACACCATAACGGTCGCACTGTGGTTTTTCGAAAAAGAATAGGCATTATAACATCAGCTCTGAGGTAAGGCTTAAATTAGCAATAGAGATTATTAATCTAGTAAGTCTGATGGACTATTAACATATCAACATTTGGTGTATAATTACCTTCCTCTCTGTCCTTAACCAATATTCTTGCTATGACATGCTTAGTGAGTGTTAGGCTATATATTTAAGCCAATGGGTCGTTATCAAAATTATAGTTTAAGAACAGGTCAGGTAGTATAGACGACCCTCTCTACCTCATCACTGTATCCCACCCTCTCCTACGACTTCATACTTTTCCCCATGTATTTACTTTTCTCGTCCACTGAAAGGCCGAAATAGGTAATAGTGGACGTAAAAAAAATAAATCCTCTCTTGCCAAACCTAGCTGTCATAATGCTGTCAAAAAACGTGGCATTTACTTGTACACCCCTTTTCCCCCTTTTTAAACAAATCAATCGAACAAACTATACATCCTGACGCGAGAACAGAATCGTAAACCTAATGCTATAGAAGAATAACTTTTCATTGCGTGTCCAAAACTGAAAGCTACAGATCTATTTCAAAAGGGAAAACATGACGTTCTTTCAACCACAAATTGCACAGGCCAATGGTTATATACATGCGAATACATCTAGAAAAGATCTTTGTCTGTTATGTCTTGCCAAAGACTTTATATTTAAGCTTGTGGTCTAACATACGTAAGGACTATATATACATAGTGGAAATCATCAGATTGCTGATGTCACGGTAATGTTTTGTCTGACTGTAATGGAGTCATGTAATGAAGAATGCTTCGCGTCAATAAAGTACTTGGGCAATATATACGAAATGTCACTTTTGGAGATTACCTCAGTTAGAATTCAAATGACTGTTAAAAGGACACTTCTCATTTTCAAGATCCCTCTCCACAGAAACATGGCGCTGTGGAAGGATCATACCCCAACTTTTCGTGAGTTATCGCCCATGGTAAAGCGATAGTGGCGACGGACTGTTTACTAAAATACGGAACCAACATACGGTTATTAAAGGATAAGATTAAAGATCAGCTTAAAGAATTAAGCCAATATACATGAATATTTATTTAATGTTTTACAGATTCATTATAAGAAATATTATTTCTTTTGAGTTATACGATAAACAGATACATAAAAGCAAGAAATTACAGCCGCACCCTCCCTCCCCCCGCGAATAATAAAAATACATCCCGCCTTTAACAAATTTCACACCAATGTTAATCCATTATGCCCAAAAAGATATATCTCCCAAAATTATTTCTCCCCCAAAAGCTATATTGCCCCTAAAGTTTATTAGCACGAAAAGAAAATCCTTAACATTTAATTACTCTTATGACCCACACTAGTATGCTCATGTATTTCCATGATGCCATATCCAATTAGTTTCAACAGTTATGGCAATGGAGATCATCACAGACTTCGATAAAAAGAAAAAATCCTATTAAGCGAGCTTACGTATGATATAAAACCGACGCAGGGGAGGTCACTCTTCTTCCGTATTTGTTGCAAGAGCTATTTTCCTCAAGATTCAACTGGCATTTTGATTTCATTAAATTTTGAAAATTTCGTTTTGTATGTCCCAGTTTGTTTAAATATAAAAAAATTATTTATCACCATAACGAAATGAATAGCAAAAAAAAATCATTAGTGAATGATACTGAAGTAAATATATGCCAACTGAGTTTCTGCCCTATAAATAATGAGCTGTATAATTTGCTCGGGATCCACCAGTTGAGAGGCAAAAAGGAACAAGATAAACATTTTTTTTTTGTCTTTTGTTGTTATCATTGTTATTTTTTGTTTGTTTTACTTTTGTTTGTGTTTTTTGTTTTGTTTTGTTTTTGTTTGGTTGTATTTTGTTTTACAAATATTTACACCAACCAATATACACAAGTAGTTATAAAAGTGGTGGTTTTGACGGACTTCCTGTAGATTTCCCCGTTTAAATAAAGCAGGGCAATGGGTACCTCAGGGGTTCCCCCCCCAAACAATGAGAATACGAAAACACTTTTATAAACAATATTATTGTTATCTTATCATCATATGTGTAAACAAGGAAAAAACATCGATTGAATTTTCAAATTTCAATTTCCCCGTCGCAATGAACGTGGGCCGGAGAGCCACCCCACTCTCATTCTTACAAAAATTACGTATTATATCATGGACAATTTAAGTATCTTTCCGCCAAAGATACTCTTCCTGTTGAAATGATCTCACATCAAACTAACAGAAAAAACATTCAACCAAGTTGCACTTTCAGCGTGATGATTTCAATTTTCAATTGTGCTTTTCCATTTCTAGAAAGCAAAATCCTTGCATTCGAAACCGATGGTGTTGATATGTCAGATCTGATTCAGTATTCACAGGTTTGTTCCAAATATCTCGAGTTTCGTTCAAGATATCGACAAACTCACAATAAAGAGTTTTGATAGACACGGATTAATAAAGATAATGGAGATCTTCGTAATTTGCTCATTGCGAAACATTTAATTTCCTTGTGCAATATGATGTCGGACGTGTTCGATGGTCGTCACGTGACATTTCTCACCTGGTTTGACTATGATTTATATGGCGATTGTCTTCGACAAAGCAGAAGATGCTTTACTTTCCGGAATGCCTGGCCATATTTTTCAACTTTTTCATTCGTCTCAATGTTAATTTGTCTTTTGTTCCTATGATTGTGTTGACAAAAAAAAAAAAAAAAAAATCCTAAGACAAAACAACAGAATTAATTTCATTCAGAAGGACATTCTTTCCTGGAATATGCTGCATATAAAGCAAATAGTGTATTCAATCATTACGCCTTTAATCTCGACTCCATATTATTAAACTGAATGATATGGAGTATAAATATCGTCATTTTACATAAACTTTAGATAAACGATTAGATGTATATGGCTGATTCAAATTTAGACATGTTAATACATGAAAAACGTATGATCAAACCGACAAGAACTGTAAATCGATCGTGTGAGATTAAAAAAACAGATCTACGTTTCTCACGTTTCACTTAAAATATTATATCAGTTTGGTAACCGCATTTATTATGAAATTGATATTACATTTCTGAATTTACAAATTCATATACATCAGTTATTGGCTGTGGCCTTGAAATAGTCATATTCGTTCCATGTCCATGCTTTACTTAATATCAATAAATGGACATAGGTAGATATATGGATTCATATACATCAGTTTGTACTTGACACTTGATTTTATCATCAATTGCATAAACACAAATTAACTACAATGTTCAATTTCCGTTTCCATTAACCGGAACGTATGATTGCAAGACAAGTTGACCGCAAGAATGCAAGACTGATATGATATCTATCTCTTCCTATCATTAAATAAATGCATTATTCACCTAAGGGTACGGAATGCGTCATTACTTGCTTCCAGACATTAAGGTTCAAGCAGCGAAATGAGAGTTCCGGCCCACTTCAGTACTACCATTGTTACAACCGAAAACAACTTGCAGTTAATCGGAACACAAGTTACTCTAAGATACGACACTTAACTGTAACAAAAGCACAACCCAACATGGTGGTGTGGTTCATGCTTATTATTGTGTTGTCTGGTGTTGAATCGTGTCGCCAAGGTGTAAACTGTCATCTACCGGACTGTTTCTGTAGTACATTAGAACATCCCTTGAATCGAAAGGAGATCCCTCAAATGGTGTTTTTTGGATTCGATGATGCCGTTAATCCGGAAAGTGTTCAACACTATGATTTTCTCTTCGGACGTAACCGATATAACCCTAACGGTTGTCCAATCAGCGCCACCTTGTATATTTCACATCAAAATACTAAATACGATATTGTTAAAAAGTACTATGATCGTGGATTTGAGGTGGCCGTACACAGCGTGTCGCACACTAACATTGACACATACACAAAAGTAATGGAAGAAGCTCGAGACCAACGAAACAACATTGCTACATTAGCTGGTGTCCCTATTGAGGAAATTGTCGGCTGGAGGAGTCCTAATTTATTTACGGCAGGTGATGCTCAAGTTACCGCCCTCCAAAACCTCGGGTACACTTACGATATTTCATTAAGTCATAGAAAACTGAATATGGACGATAGGGATATGTGGCCATTTACATTAGACTATGGATGTCAAGGTTTATCGAAATGTCCAAAACAAAAACATAAAGGATTTTGGCAGATACCGGTCAATATGGTGGTATGGAAAAAAGAACAAGTATGCGTCTATGTTGATGGCTGTTACAAACAACCTAATAATACCGACGAGGCTTACAACTTCATCATGGATAACTTTAAGAGGTATTACGACGGCAATCGAGCGCCATTTGGAATAAATATGCACATGGCCTGGTTTTACCGTCCGTACACCAGGGAAGGAATGGACAGAGCCATACAGGATATGCTGAAGTATAACGATGTTTATATTGTAACTGCTAAACAAATGTTGCAGTGGATGAAAAACCCGACTAATTTATCTCAGATTATGCATTTTAAGGACTGGGATTGTAACGAAGAAAACAGAAGAAAAAGAGAAAAAGGACGTAAAAGTAAATATTTTTTTTGGGGGGAAGTTGTCATTGTTGCTGTGATTTTATCTTGCCTTGCTGTTGTAGTGGTATATTGGGTTATTTCAAAGCAAGGTAAACAATACACATCTTTACAGCCTATTGCAACTGCCGACGAGTACACTGATGGTGACATTTAAAGTTTTGAAGTTAAAGAAACAATTATCTTCATGGTTATGATTGCATAATTCTTCATGTAAATTATTGACAAAATTGTCGGCAAGACATATTTCAGCTTGTATCACGGAGATGTTTTAAAGTTCTACGAACGATATGTCTTATTTAGCATTAATAGTAATAGATTTATGTTAATTTATGAATTGCTTATTAGTCGGTTGGATAACACGTTCTAGCACTATGGATGTTACTTCGTGGTACAATAGATGATGATAGAAACTGATGACCCATCAACGACCCATGTGCCTCAGTCTCTAATTATATAGTAACATAATAATAATTAAATACATGATAATATTATGTAATATGTAATATTTCATTTGTTAAGTGGCACTTGTAATTCAATATTAAATATTATGAAATTGATTTGGTTTTGGAGTTGTTCATCTGTCTTTGACATTAATTTCGACCATAATTTAAATTTCTCAATCGCTTGTGCGTCTTTCGTACAATCGTGTAGACGTTAGTCTATTTTGTCTCGGCTCCTCTGCAATCACACTTTCGATATTTCAATACAAAAATCACTTTGACGTGAATACATAGAATGCACATAACGGTCAACTAGCTCACACTCTCACCTGTTTTCTCTCTCACTCATGGAATATTTAAACCACACTGATTAAATAATGTAAACATTCGAACGATAGTTTGATATAATACGACGTATTGTAATTTTGAACTTAAAATTAGCTACTCAGTCAAACCAGAGGAATTTTCTGTCGCCCAGAAAGTCTTCAAGTTGTGTTGTATACGGTTTGTAGAATTTAGTCAGTAAATATTTAGTTTCAGGTAGCATGACTCCTAATCTTTCCTTTCTTTTGTTTCTCCGTGTTTTCGAAAATTTGATATTAAGGTTACCTAAAACAAATGCTCCGGTGTCACACGTGGTGGCAAAGACACAAGGAAAAGAAAAAACGAAAAAAATGCTACGGTAAATCACAGAAAAACGGCATAAAAGTAAATCAAGAAGAAAAAGACGAAAAGATATATCATAGAGAAATAGACGAAAAAATAATCAGAGAAAAAGACGTAAAGGTAAATTACACACAAACAGACGTTAAGATATATCACAGAGAAAAAGACGTAAAGATATATCACAGAGAAAAAGACGTAAAGATATATCATAGAGAAAAAGACGTAGAATTAATCACAGAGAAAAAGACGTAGAATTAATCACAGAGAAAAAAAAGTAAAGGTATGTCACAGAGAAAAGGCATAAAGGTAAATAGTGAAGAAAAATACGTAAAGGTAAATCACACAGAGAAATACATAAGGATACATTACTAGGGTAAGACGTACAGGTAATTCACAGAGAACAAGAGGTAAAGATTAATCACAAAGAAAAATACGTCAAGGTAATTCATAGAGAAAAAGACGTCAAGGTAAATAACAAAGAAAAAGACGTAAAGGTAAATTACACACAAACAGACGTAAAGATATATTACAGAGAAAAAGACTCAGAGATATATCATAGAGAAAAAGACTCAGAGATATATCACAGAGAAAAAGACTCAGAGATATATCACAGAGAAAAAGACTCAGAGATATATCTTAGAGAAAAAGACTCAGAGATATATCATAGAGAAAAAGACGAAAAAATAATCACAGAGAAAAAGACGTAAAGGTAAATTACACACAAACAGACGTAAAGATATATCACAGAGAAAAAGACGTAAAGATATATCATAGAGAAAAAGACTCAGAGATATATCATAGAGAAAAAGACTCAGAGATATATCATAGAGAAAAAGACTCAGAGATATATCATAGAGAAAAAGACTCAGAGATATATCACAGAGAACAAGACGTAAAGATATATCACAGAGAAAAAGACGTAAAATTATTCACAGAGAAAAGGACGTAAAGGTAAATTACACACAAACAGACGTAAAGATATATCACAGAGTAAAAGACTCAGAGATATATCATAGAGAAAAAGACGTAAAGATGTATCACAGAGAAAAAGACTCAGAGATATATCACAGAGAACAAGACGTTAAGATATATCATAGAGAAAAAGACGTAAAGATATATCATAGAGAAAAAGACTTAGAGATATATCACAGAGAAAAAGACGTAAAGATATATCACAGAGAAAAAGATTCAGAGATATATCATAGAGAAAAAGACTCAGAGATATATCATAGAGAAAAAGACTCAGAGATATATCACAGAGAAAAAGACGTAAAGATATATCACAGAGAAAAAGACGTAAAATTATTCACAGAGAAAAGGACGTAAAGGTCAATTACACACAAACAGACGTAAAGATATATCACAGAGAAAAAGACTCAGAAATATATCATAGAGAAAAAGACGTAAAGATGTATATATCACAGAGAAAAAGACGTAAGAGATATATCATAGAGAAAAAGACTCAGAGATATATCACAGAGAAAAAGACGTAAGAGATATATCATAGAGAAAAAGACGTAAAAATAATCACAGAGAAAAAGACGTAAAGGTAAATTACACACAAACAGACGTAAAGATATATCATAGAGAAAAACACGTAAAGATATATCATAGAGAAAAAGACGTAAAATTATTCACAGAGAAAAAGACGTAAAGGTCAATTACTCACCAAAAGACATAAGGGTAAATCACAGAGAAAAACACGTAAGGATAAACTACAAGGAAAAGACGTAGGGGTAATTCACTGAGAAGAAGATGTTAAGGTAAATCATAGTGAAAAAGACATAAAGGTAAATCACAGAGAATCGGACGTCAAGGTAAATCACAGAGAAAAATACCAGAAAGAAAGTCATCACCCCCAGAATGTCACTGTTCATTTCTTATATGTTTGGTACCAAAATAGTCACCAATAAGCTATATATAAATATAACCAATTAAGCACAACTTAAAATACAACAGACTAAATTCCCACACCTTTCACTCACTATGAATGCGAAACAAACTGGCGAAGTAGCTAACCGGTGAAATCCAGGTCAAACAAGGCTGAGTATGAAGAGGAAACGCCATTGACATGTAGTTAAATCATTTTCAGTTGACATATTTCACGCCACCGCTCTACATGTTGCATTTCTGAACTGATTAGTACAAAACTCCACTCACATGATCACAAACATCACTTCCCGAATGAAATCGACTTCGAACTTTGTGCAGTCAAAAACTAGGTCGCTTTTGCTATAAATAGAAATCAATAGGAAATTACAAGTCACCTCTCTACTGGCTGCATTTCTAAACTGGTTGGTATGAAACTCCAGACACATGATCACAAACGTTACTTCTTATACCAGTTTGACTTCCAACCTTGAGCAGACAAATGCTAGGGTACTATTTCTGTAAATAGAAACATTATTGCCCTAAAAAAAGCTCTGTGCTTCTCCGAATTTTACCAAAATGCACACGTCTTCACACACAAAAAAAATCGCCTTTGGTACGGGTTCAAGTTTTTACTTTCAATGGTTGAAAAAACTAGGTCAACTTTACTTTAAATATAGGTAGAACAGAAATGGATGTCATCGCTTCTTATTTTGTTTTCAGAATATGAGATGGAAGCCTGTCAACCATCTTGCTCTCAGATTACTCTCAAAAGTCCAAGGGCACTATAAGGGATTAAGAGAACCCTAATTCAAAATTATCCCATAAGTATCATAATTGTATATGTTAAATAGTTGAATATTGAATAAAAGTATTGTTTTAACTAAATAAAAGATCTGTCAAGTACTTCTCAAGTATATAGCGGTAACAAACCTTCATAGTCAAAATCCAAAATATCCGTATATCAGCAATTTAGTTTTTCTGGACAGTTTAAAAATTTAAAAAAAATACCATTAGAAGTAACTGTATGTGAATGTTGAGAAAAAGTCCACCAGATCTTCAAAAGAAATAGCGATAACAAACATTCATAGTCAAAATTTAAAATTGTCGCCTGTCAATCATGTTTTTCTGATTAGTTCAAAAATCAAAGTGGCACAAGGGACCATAAGATTCATTATATGAAAATATACCGCTATGGACAAAGAGTAAATTGTTAAGAAATAACGATGATAAAAATCCATTATCAGTTTCCAAGATGGACTCCTGTCAACCATTTTGTTACCTGACAAATCCAAAAATAAAAATGAAGTAGCAGAAACATCTGATCAAGAAGTAAAGAAAGAATATAGCAGAGTAAGGAACCAAGTTAAGTCAAAGACAAGAAAACTACGTAAGGAATTTGAACAATCCATTGCTGTACAAGCCAAATATAATAGTGTTTGTTGAAGAAGAAAAAGGAGAAATACCTGAACTAACTCACATTAAAACAAGAAGCAATATGAAATTACTTGTGATAACTGTAATATCATAATGTGCTTAGCGACTTGATAGGAAATGATGTAAGCGTCCACGACCACATTGTTGTTACATGGTGTCAGAAAAGACTGGATTCGACCTATAGAAACACACGTTTCCTGTCAGGTATACATATTAAGACCCAAAGACATTTTAAACGTCGAGGGCATGGTGTTTTATCCGTACACCAACGGCGGTATTAGCACACAACAGGATTTCGGTGTCTGATAGATATTTTTGGACGTACCCGCTGTAAAACAAAATGCAGGTCTTGCATTCGCTCAACCCAAAATGAACTGGGGTGCAAGTGATGAATATAAAGAATTTAGACGGTTTAAGCAACACGTAGAATTCACATTTAAAGGTCCTTATCTAAATCAGAGAAAAAAGATAAAGCTGGATGGTTAGGCATGTGGATTGGTCAAGACCAAGACGTTGAACTTCGGCGAGGGCGAGGAAGATGACCCTGATATAATACTCGCAAAGTTGGATGAATACATAAGTCCTAAAAAGAATAAAAGAATATCTAGGTTCAAAGCGCATCAACGTAAAAAAACTGAAACAGAAACATTTGATAACTTTGTGAAAGACCTGAAATTACTAGTCATGGACTGTGATTACACAGACAGTGATGATGTTTTGATAGACTTAATAATCAGTGGAGTGAAATCTACAAAGGTCCAGGAGAGTCTCCTTGATCAGGGACAAAAACTCACAATGGCTAAAGCTATCGAAATTGGTCGCCAATATGAACTATCAAAGTCTCAGCTTAAATTAATGAGAGGCGAAGAAGTTCTACGTCTGAGTACCCAGCAAAAACACAGACAAAAACCCAAAATTAAACCTGTCACAAAGAAAAATAAAACAGCCACTGAGAATCAAAATGCAAATGTCAACAGAGATTCTAAAAATGATGAATGTGGCAAATGTGGGTTATTGCACGATAAAAGTAAATGCCCAGCAAAAGATACGAAGTGCTCATACTGTGAAAAAAAACCTGGCCATTGGACAAAAATGTGCAGGAGAAGACTCAGACATGTAAAAGCCATACACGAATCGGAGGATTCTGACCCAGGCGACACAATGTTAATAGACATACATACTTGTACGACACAGCCTGTCAACAACATTGATGATAAATGGCTTGTAAATCTAGAAGTACAGAGGAAACTTGTCCCATCCGCATTGATACAGGTGCAAAGTGCTGCATTCTATTAGCATCACAGCTACAAAGCCTCAAGACAGGGTTTGTGATGGAAAAGTCACGAAGAACTTTAAAGTCTTACACCAATCACAGGATTACTCCACTGGGAACTGTTAAACTCCCTATAGACTTTAAAGGGAAACAATTAACTACAAGCTTTGAGGTAGTAGATATCAGTCAGGAAAACATTATAAGTGGTGATGTAGCTGAAAACCTAGGATTACTGCAACGTATACATGTAGACTCTATTACCAATGAAATTGAAGCACACGAGGAACTGTCTCGTGAGTTCCCATAACTGGTCAAAACCACTGGTACTCTGCCTGGAGAGTATTGCATCCCGATCGACAAAAGCATTAAAGGCGTTGTACACCCTGCTCGTAAATTGGCTGCAGCAATAAACCCAAAGGCAATAGAGAAGCTTAAGGAGATGGAAGCTAATGGATACATAACAAGGACTTATGAACCTACTGAGTGGGTCAGGTCTATGGTAGTATCGCTACAGAAAGGCAAAGTTAGGATATGTATAGATCCGAAAGATCTCAGCCAAGCCATAAAGAGGGAACACCATCCAATGAAAACAATTGATGATGCAAGTACAGACATTTCTAAAGCCAAAGTATTCTCTGTGCTAGATGCAAAATCAGGATTCCTCCAAATTAAACTTGACATAGAATCTTCATACTTGACTCCCTTCAATACACCGTTAGGGAGATACAGGTGGCTCAGACTCCCATTTGGAATTAAATCAGCTCCAGAAATCTATCCACGTATCATGGACCAAATGTTGGAAGGTATCCAAGGTGCATTCGCCATCATAGATGACATACTTGTGGCTGGGAGAGATCTAGAGGAACATGATAAAATCATGAGGCAAGTTGTCGAACGTGGAACAAAGTACAACCTGAAACTAAACGAGAAGTGCAAAATAAGGCAACCCAAAGTGAACTATATAGGTCACGTGATTACTGAACACGGACTACAGCCAGACGCAGGAAAGGTCAGGGCCATACTAGAGATGCCTTCACCTACTGACAAAGAAGGGGTACGCTGCTTCCTAGGTTTAGTCCAATATCTTGCCAAATTTCTGCCAGATTTAAGCAGTATTTACGCTCCTTTGCGTTCACTCTTGACGTAGAGTTTGCGTGGCAACATGAACAGCAAGAAAGTTTTTCAAGAACTTAAACTTTTGTGTACCAACCCACCAGTTCTAGCATTTTATGATATAAACAAACCTGTATACATTGAATGTGATGCCAGCAAAGACGGACTTGGTGCTGTATTAATGCAAGGAGAACACGCAATCGCATATGCTTCACGTTCGCTCACAGAAACTGAGAAACGTTACGCTCAGATTGAGAAAGAAATGTGTTGTCCATCGTATTCAGTGCAACGAAGTTTCACCTATATATATATGGCAAAGAAGTCAATGTTTATAATGACCACAAACCACTAGAACAACTGTTTAAGAAATCACTACTGTCCGCACCTATGCGAATTTAGAAAATGCTGATGAGGTTACAATGGTATGACATTACAGTTATATACCGGAAAGGCAAAGAAATGCATGTGTCCGACGCACTGTCCAGAGCATTCCTTCAGACAGAAAATCAGCATTCTGAGTTTGATAGGCAAGAAGACATGATAAACATGCTGTCCGTCAGTAATGACAAATATGCAGAAATAAAAAGTGCAACTCAAACTGAGCTATCAGCACTGTACAAAGTCATAATAGATGGGTGGCCAGACACACGAAGTGAAACTCCGGTAGAAGTAAGACCCTACTGGGACTCGAGGGACCAGTTATCTGTGCTAGATGGGATAATCTACAAAGGCCTAAGACTAGTAATACCCCCGAGTCTTCTAGGGAACATGCTGGAACTTATTCACAAATCACACCTTGGCATGTCAAAATGTAAACAACGCGCACGCGAAGTTATGTATTGGCCATGTATGAACAGTGACATAGACTCAATGGTCAGTAACTGCACACAGTGTAATGAATACCAAAAACAACAGCCAGCGGAACCACTAAAACCAACTCCTACCCCTGATCTGCAATTTAGTTTTGTTGGATGTGATATATTTGATTTTGAGTCAAAGAAATACCTACTTGTTGTAGACTATTATTCAAAGTACATTGACGTAGCTCCACTTCAATTCGAAAATGCCAAAGCAATAATCGAAGCATTAAAACCAATATTTGCATGTCATGGTATTCCAGTGAAGCTAAGATCAGACAATGGACCACAGTTTAGTTCTAATGAGTTTAAGAAATTCTGTGCGTCAATAGGAATTGAATCTGAAACAGCTAGCCCGCACTTTCAGAGCTCAAACGGTGAAGCAGAGCGTGTGAAACAAATAGTAAAACATCTTTGGCGTAAAAACGAAGACAAACAGATGTGTCTACTTGATTACCGTACCACACCACTTGAAGGCATTAACATGTCTCCATCACAGTTACTCATGGGTAGACGACCAAGAAACATCTTGCCGACATCCAATGATTTACTCAAACCAAATCACAACACAAACCTGGTTAAGAAACATTTTGATAAAGAGAAACAGAAGCAAAAATTTCATCGTAGAGGAGTAAAAGAGTTGCCTTCTCTTAGTGTAGGAGAACCCGTACGCGTTAGTCCAACACAATCTGGTAAATCAGCTAAATGGAATCCAGGCACAGTGATTGAGAAACACTCAAAACCGCGCTCGTACATTGTATCTAGTGGCACCCGCCTATACCGTAGAAACAGAAAATTCCTAAGACCGTCAAAATTTGATCAGGAACTAGATGAACCCGTAAAAATCGAGCCGAATATGAATGATGAGCTGTGTCAACCTGAACCAGAATCCACCCAGAGAACAATTGACCCTAGTAATAGTGGGACTCCAAACCCAGCTATAACTGTAAAGCCTCCAGTGCGTGTTACTCGATCTGGCAAACGTGTGAAAACACCAAAGAAAGTTGACTCATAATTCTTTAGCGTTCTAACATCAGATCTAGAACTGTTAAAATGTTAACATGTCTTTAGTTAAGACTTGCACTGTGTTTTGGGGCACAGTAATTCCCGTGCAGTCTTGCAGAACAGGGTTCTGCTTATATCAAATTTATTGTTTATGTTCTATTTTCTTATAATTAAGTCAGTGTATTTCTAGTCCAAATTATTTGATATTACGTAAATTAATGGAGATACTCAGTAATCAGGACTGTAGTCAGAGATCTTCATTTGTGTTAGAGACACCATCAGACAAAACCATTATTTGGTTAAATTCATTTAATGTCCTAATGCACTTTATTGTTTCGTTAAAGAGAGGGAAATGTAATATCATAATGTGCTAAGCGACTTGATAGTAAATGAGGTAAGCGTCCACGACCACGTTGTTGTTACAATAACCAATGAAATGGTTACCAAGGTACTCAATAACTTAAATCCAAATAAATCACCAGGCTTAGATAACATGCATTCAGAATTCCTGAAGAAGACTGCCTCCACCATAGCGATACCACTAGCACTGATATTCAACCAAACTTTTCGAGAGGGATCCATTCCTGTTGATTGAAAGCATGCAAGAGTGTGTGCAATATTTAAAAAGGGAGACAAGAGAGCAGCAGGGAATCACAGGCCAGTCAGCCTTTCATCTGTGGTATGTAAACTAATGGAAACAATCATTCGCGGGCATATAAATGACTTTATGCGATCACACAATCTTTTTCTCGTCAAGGCAATATGTATTTATATCGGGCTGTCTGAATGGAATGACGTATCATCTGATATTCCCCAGGGATCAGTCCTAGGCCCCCTGCTGTTTGTCATTTTCGTAAATGATTTACCAGATTTTCTAAAATCAGATATCTATTTGCAGACGATACAATATTTTCAGGGTAATCAAGAGAGAAGAAGACAAAGTAATACTTCAAGAAGATCTAAAAACCATGGGAGAATGGAGTGAGAAATGGCTATTAAAATTACATCTGGATAAATGCAAACATATGTTGGTCGGACAAGATACTGCACAGGTAGATGGAACAGGAGCAAAGTACCAATTACTGGGGAATATTCTAAGAGTCACTGATAAGGAAAAAAAAACATTGGAGAAATGGTAGATTCTGAACTTTCTTTCCAATACCACATGAGTGAAAAAGTGAAGAAAGCAAATCAAATTTTCGGATTGTTAAGAAGAACATTTCAGTTTATGAATTCTTGAAACTTTTCTTCTGCTGTACACATTTTCGGATTGTTAAGAAGAACATTTCAGTTTATGAACTCTAAAACTTTTCTTCTGCTGTACAAAAGCTTGGTGAGATCACAACTGGATTACGTAAGTTGTGTTTGGTCGCCAGTAAAAGTGAAATATATAGATAAGCTGGAGTCAGTTCAACGAAGGGCCACAAAAAGTTAACCTGGAATGAAGGATATTTCGTACCAGGACAGGCTACAGTAGCTAAATCTTCCAACTTTAACATACAGAAAGCTTAGAGGGGATATGATAGAACGCTATAAAATCACAAATGTATATATGGTAAGGATTCATGCAGTTTTGTAAAGCTTAAGATGGACGTAGGAATAAGAAGTGGTCGGGGACACTCTAAAACACTTTTTCTCCAACAACACAGGACCAACGGAAGAGGAAATAGCTTTGCTATAAGAACTGTAAAAACATGGAATAATCCTACAGAAGACGTTGTATTTGCTCCAAATATAAATACTTTTAAAAAAACTGGACAAGTTTTGAAAAAATCAAGATATGGTTTATAATTATAGAGCTACTGTAAACTAACCGGAAAATGAACTTTAACCACGACAATATAATTTTGAGTCTGGTAAAGAGGAACACAGCGTGTTCCAGTACCGAAAACACTACTATACTATTATATCCGTTATCTCCCTTAGACTGGGCGTATTTTGCGAATAATACGTGCTTCGCCGTTTACATTGGTATTTATGCAAGTGATTGCACGTACGTACACATGAAATTAATAAATTACTATAGAGAAATCTTGTAAGACCAAACAATTGAAAAAATGACTTGAGTCTGTGAAAACTATCAATGTTAAAAAACACACATATTTTCCCCTTAAAATTTTTATTTGGAAAACACTGCATGTAAATAATCATATTTCGTAAAATCCTAAAAATATCCCATGAATTTTCTCTTGGTCAGAAAATCAGAGGAAAACTAAATCATTTTGGTTGAGTTGCTAACACGTGTAGTCAGAGTTATCTTCCCGGAAAATAAATTAACTTGAACACGATGGACATCTTCCGGTAAACTTGCATATTGTTTACACTTTACACTGAGACTATTCTCTTTTCCGTTGCAATTGGATCGTTCCTTATTTCAACACAGTGGAATGAAAATAGCCAGGTAAGACAATCTTTCATTAACTGTAAGAGATACAGGTCAAACCATACTGTATGCAAGAACGTCAAAAACATTATTTTGCAGTTCCAATGAGTTGATTGCGGATTTCATATTCTAAATATAGAGTAGACCTATTTGTGTCACATCTCCTGGCAACGACAACACACGCGTGTGTGTAACTAGCCCCTCATACAACGGTTAACCAAAACATATTGTTAAACACTGAACCATTTATACAAAAGTAAGTGTATTGGACACTATCATATTTCCATGTTAAGCTGGATTTAAGTTAGTTCAAGTTATATCAAGTTTCGCCTAGCGTTGCTCGACATATTACATACGTGCATTCTTCATAACCAGCATGATGTCAAACTATTGAAATAACTGCACGAATGATTTCAGTTGTACTATGTTATTTCTAATTAACCTAAATCCATAGAATGCATATGTTACTGCATATTAGCGTTTATTCCCACCGAACATGTAATGAAAGGACAGATGACCAAAGACAGTTCAATACTCCAATAAGATTTGTTTTTTCAGGAAAATATACTTTCATATAGACAAAATTTGTTTTATATGTACATCAAATGCCATTTATATATTATATATTCAATGACAATACACCAGAACATTTAATTTGATCACACATTTACTTATTTGTAATGAGTAAAAAAGAATGGACTACATTTTCTAAGGCAGAAGGATTAAGCAAAATATATACACCATGACAGATACAATATACATGATATCAATAAAAAAAATTAGATATATTTTACCAAATAAACTTGAATTGAAAAAAAAATCTTAAAACTTATGCTTTCAATAACTTATTTATGTAAAAAATGAAATATATGTGTGGTGGTCAGTTTTGAGTGTATTCATTTCAAAAAACTGGAAAAGCAAATTCTGTATCCCATATAAGCTTTTTGTGATTATCTTCAAATTCAAAGTTGGCACAAAATGATGGTTCAGATATTCTGTTTTGATTTTTGTCATACAAATGTAATATGTACATCAATGCCATTATCAGTTGATTGTAATTAGTTGTGCTGTTGGCAGTGACACTTACTTTCATTCTTTAAAAATCAGCTTAAGCAACATTACTATAATTATTGGTAAGATAATAACAGATAAGATGATAAGGTTTAACTTTCTATTTTGTTGTGATTGTCAAGGGATAACTGCAGTTGAATGCAAGTAAATTGAATGATACAAGATGTTGGTAATTTGAAAACATAATTCATGTACTTTGTAATTAAAAAGTGGACAATTGAATGAGAAGATAAATTAAAATGTTGAAAAAATGACCATTATTTTTTTCCTTTTGTATATATGAAACATTTCAGCAGGCCACCTAAGGAAGAAATGATTGTTTTAAATGATACTACTAACAAAATTGAATCTGATTAAAACCTTGAGGACCTAGAGGCGCCCAAGCTTTAAGGAGTAAATATTTAGGAAAGAAATCAGCAGTTCATTAGCTCAAAATGACAAACAACCTATACAGGTGTGATCAACAATGAAATACAAACTTTCTCCTCTAGCTCACACACCATCAATTAGAGTAGTGTGGAGGGAATTCAACATACTAGCCATGTACAAGTAAACCATATCTTTCCTTGTTACTCATTATGATAAATTTGATGAATTTGATCATTCTTTCTTGTTTACAGATTTATAAGTTAAATTACTGTAAACATATTAGGCCTATTACAATACATTTCTTAATGAAACCTTTCCTTAAATACACATATTGTTCACTCTTAAGTATAAAAGGAAATTCATCTTCAATGTCACCACTGATACACAAAGTAAAATTTATTGTTCCTTTCTGTATCATTATACCTCCCAATTTAATTTTCAATTTGTGAGATGACATTCTGATTTGGCTATTTTCTTCAAATTTTAATTTTCTTGATGTTGTAAGTATAAGATAATTTTGAATACAAAAGTCCTCACTGATACATTTATACAGCAAACATTTGTAGAAGATTTCTTTAATCCATCCAGGGTTTTCCATAAGAGCCGGTCGCCGGCCAATTTGACCGGCTACTTTGATCATTTGGCCGCCTACACCAATCCAGTTCTGTAATAATGTTCCGTACACGACTACATGTACACGGCAGGCCAGCCTCCTACTTTCACTACACAGCCTACTACTAACAAAATTATGGAAAACCCTGCCATCTTACAGAAATATCCACTCTTCCAATGTGGGTAAGATATCTCTATCTTGCTGGGGACAGAGCCTGCAAGAACGGAACATAAACACATGCTAAACTGGAAGTTGTTAAACATAAACACATGCTAAACTGGAAGTTGTTAAACATAAACACATGCTAAACTGGAAGTTGTTAAACATAAACACATGCTAAACTGGAAGTTGTTAAACATAAACACATGCTAAACTGGAAGTTGTTAAACATAAACACATGCTAAACTGGAAGTTGTTAAACATAAACACATGCTAAACTGGAAGTTGTTAAACATAAACACATGCTAAACTGGAAGTTGTTAAACATAAACACATGCTAAACTGGAAGTTGTTAAACATAAACACATGCTAAACTGGAAGTTGTTAAACATAAACACATGCTAAACTGGAAGTTGTTAAACATAAACACATGTGTATATTTCTTTCATTAATCTTATATTTCTAGCATGTTTGAGGAAAAGGGTAGAAAAACGATAATTTCCAAGTTTGTGGTTAGAACTAATAGAATTTTTCACCCCCATGGAGGAGAAACAGATAGGTCTCGACCGGAGGGGAAAGATAATTAAGTTAGCAAATTTGAGGCTTGCCGAATGTTTGCAACAGAAACACCTTATCCTGAGAAGTGAGATCACCTTATCTACCAACTAGTGGATAAATTATTATTTTCCTCTTATTCTGCTAATTATTAGGTACTCGTATATGTTTTTGTTGTCCCAATGCTTCTCATAGCTTACATAATTTGATTATTGTGAATTGTTACTGTGACGCCATATCACTGTCCTGGGAGGGGACCCTTGGATGAGACATGGAAATCTCACAGTGGTAAAAAGCACAGATTTACCTGTCCAGGGTTAGAGATCATGAAATATATACGCCGAGGAGATTTCCAGCACTCTAAAGCAAATCCTCAGATAAGACAGTTGTGATACTCTTCCTTGGGTAAAGATTTTCTGTCCTACTCTCAAATAAAGCATAGATATTAATGATTTTTTCACTGCACTCTTATTTAGAGATATTGATCAATCTAGTTTTGATAATGTTTAAAATATAATCAGGTCTGAAAATATCTATATGTAAATACACCCCATCTACAAAAACCTTATCTCCCACACCATATAGACATTCGCTTCCATTTTCTTACACATCTTGGTAACTGACATGCAAAATGCAATTGTCTGAATGTTTTAATTTCATCCAATTCCTAAAAAATATGAAATGTTCTGATAATTTCTAGAGGAATTTTCCTTTATTCAGTTGTCTAGAGGCCTTCAAGCTAATTTCTGATATATGAGCATCAAAATTTGATAAAAGGTCAAAGTTTACTCCAAATAATTTTACAGTTTTTTCAGGCTTATTAATTATATTTTTTATTTCAAATGAAGTAAAAGCATCAATAGATTTCCTGTCTAAACATACAGCTTGAAATTTATCAGGATTTGCTCACATGTGGTTTTAATTAACCCAGTCAACCAAATTTGAACAATCTATATCAATGGACTGTTTGAGAATAAGAGGGTCTCTATTGGATGCACTAATTGTATTATCATCTGCATAATTATAGAATTTGGATGAATTGAGATAAAAGAAATGTCCTGTATAAAAATATTAAAGAGGATGGGCCCCAAAATTGAGCCCTGTGGAACCCCTTTGAACACTTGTAACCAGTCACTGCATTTGGAGCCTACCTTAACCTGTTACCACATAGCTAGATACCAGATCCAGTGATTCAGCACTAAAACCATATGTATCAGCTTCCTGAGTAACAGAGTATGAGGAAGGCAGTCAAAAACCTTAGACAGATCCACGAGAATGGCAGCAACATACTCATGGTTGTCGAAGGCCTTGCACCAGTCCTTAACCAATCTTAACAGGGCAGTCTGACATCAAAATCCTGGCCTGAAGGTAGCTAAAAAAGAAATTAAAAGATATTAAAATATTCACCAAGCTGATCACACATACCTCTTTCAAAGAGTTTGGAGATACTAGGTAAAATACTAACAGGCCTGTAATTATGCTTGTCCATGGCATCCTTTTTTTTGTAAACAGGTACAACATGTGCAACCTGAAGTAGACTAGGGAAGGTATTTACTTAGAGGATAACTTCTTACCTTCATAGAACTAGTAGAATTAATTTTTTACAAACATAATTAGGGGAAACAGGCTTAAAAACAAAATTTTCTTGTACACATGATTGGCTTTCGATTTTAGAGATTATGTTGTCATTTACTATGTCTTTATCATTCCCAATATCTCCAGCCACATTGACATGAAAATTATTAAAAACATTGCACACCTCTAATTGGTCACAAACAATAGTTTGATATAAGTAGATGAAGGGCTACGGATTTGTTCAAATAATTGACCTTGACCTATATTCAAGATCTCTTGGGTTAAGTGAGGTTCGCAGTAATGGCATTTGTGTCGTAGCATGTAAGAAGAATATGATTACAAGTTCACGGAAAATGTTTTTATGAGCTAACAATGTCTTCTACATATGTAAGTGGTAGGAGTAATTGGGCAATTTATTCTAGGCTTATTTCACCTTTTTCACATATAGGTATTTATAGTTAAATGACCAGATGATGGTTAAGGCCTTTGGGCCTCTTGTTTTTTTTAACATTATTATGCAGTTAAATTGAATTCACCTCAACCTACTTTACTGCTCTTTTGTTAAAGAAGTAGGCTTAAGCTTATGTGTGTTGGTACATGTAAATATCCATACGACAAAGAAAAAGATTATGAATAGAAGTATGTTGTATAGGGACTAAGAGTTCTGTTCTTACAC